TATATATATATTCTCTAACAGCAACAACAAAATGAAGAGCGGAACGTTCTAATGCTTGGCTCCGCAGAAAACAGCTGCCTGCTCATGTTTCTGCATTCAATTTCGTGCAACCTGTTGCTCTGGCTAAGGAAGATACAGGAAGAAGACCTGACTCCACAGACAGGCATCTGGAAAGGGGAGGGCTTTAATAGGCTTTTCAGATAAATATGCATACTTTTCTCTTTTTTGCCACTATACCAGAACTCAAAAAGGTGCAGCTAATCTTAAAGTAAGGTGGAATCTAAAAACAAATCAGTGAATATTTGCTACTGTTACATTAAAACCACTGGTCTAGTTGACATTTTGAGGCATCTTCACCCACACTTGAATGTATGACATCACTGTATTTGGAAAACACTTTCGTATGTTGGCATACCTCATAGTGTTAAAAATCCCATTCACTGGGCTGGGGAGATAGCTTGGCAGTCTAAGCACCTGCCTGGTAAGTGCAAGGACCTGAGTTTGATCCCCAGTATACATGCCACACCAGCCCCAGGACCCCAGGTACACATGCCGGCCACTGAAACTGGACATAGTGGTGCCTGAAATCCCAGCACAGGGGAGGCTGAGACAGGAGGATCACTGTGAGTCTGAGCTGCGTAGCAAGACTCTGTATGAAATACATAAATAAATGATTTTTTTAAAAAAATTAAAAAACCCATTCACTGATATTTAAATATCATTTTAAAAATCTTAAAAGATTACAAAGCTTCAAGGTTGAAAATCTTCCAAAATTCTAGTTTTATGAAGCTTAAATCTTATCACTGGCAACAAATACCAGTCAAGTATTTTCTTTAAAAAAACTGGCTCAACTATCAACTTTAGAGAAAAGGTCTGCTCAATACCCAAGCCTGGACAGCCGCAGCCTGTTGGTCATTCTTTCAAGTAAAAATGATGCGTCCCATGGAGAGAAAAAACATTCTCTTAGGCTTTCACAGAGAGCAAATTGATCAAGCAATGGCCGTGACTCATCCTCATGGCTGACACTGACAAAGGATCTACAAAGTGCAGTACAGGGCTACAGGATAAATCCTGAGGGGACTTGACTGACCTTATCAGATACAAAAGTTACATTTCTTGTTATATAGGTCTTGCTTTATCCTGGTCTTAACCATCCAGCAGAAAAGTATAAAAACGAGGTATATAAAGTAAAGCTATATTAATACGATGAGCTGCAAAAGGCTCAAGTCAATAACTTCTGAGGATAACCCACTACTATAGTCTGCTGGACAGTGTTGGATTGTTTAGCTGAATTCAAACACCTATAATATTTAGATGCCAATAGAATATTCACCTCTGACAGGACTAAACAAAAAAAAGGGGATACAAAGGAAAGATCAGTTTGTATTTATATATACGAAATAGTTATGATAGACATACAGCTACTTTCGCTTAATTCAATGAGAAGAAAGAGGTGTACTAATAGTGTTTGGACAGGATATCCTGTCTGCTTCTTGTACTGTGGATAACCACTAAGAAGATAACAATGTACAATGTATTGATTATCGAAACTGTCCTATTAATCAGCTTTGAAACTCATTCATATTTGTTTCTCAATAAAATTAAAATAAATTAAAAATTAAAAAAAAATGATACGTCCCATGAACAATGGCAATGGGGTCACCCTGCCACTCAAATTCTCATATATTGTTTTTCCTCCAAACACCATATGTGGTTTATGGCATAAATGCTCTCACATAATTCCAATTTTGTTCCACAGAGTGCTAAAGGGACATACAGTCATGACCAGAGCCGCACACAAGGGCTGCACCGCATCCTCTGGGCCTTTCAAAAGGAAGCTGGTTGTTCAGGCTGAAGTTGTGTGGAGGTGAGGCAGACAGCAGCACCAGTGTACATGTCAAGCGGGGTGGGGGTGGGGATTTGATTTTATTTGTTATTTTATTTTCTATTTATTTTAAAAATCTTTTTATTGACTATTTGGTACAAGGTCTCCCTACACAGCTTGGACTGGAGTGATCTTCCTAGCTCAGCCTACCTGGAGCTGGGATTACAGGTGTGTGCTACCACGCCTGGTTTCAGTGGTGTGCCTGAGGGTGGGACATGCATTACTAGGGACTGACCTAGGGTCCTTGTGCTTACCAGGCAGGCACTAAGACAGCTGAGCTATCTCCCAACCCCTTTTATTTCTTTTTTAGACAGGGTCTCCCTATGCAGTTCAGGCTGGCCTTGAACTCACTTTGTAACCCATGCTGGTCTCAAACTCCCAATAATCCTCCTGCCTCAGGAGGGGGACATCTTAATTTCATTATGAAAAGAGTTTTCACCTGTGGCACCTCAGGGGTCCACAGATCACACAGCAAACTATGCTAGACAGTTTTAGTACAGTGCCCCAGTGTGGAACAGAAGGGCTGGAGCCTCATTCTCACAACTAGGGCTGACATGTCCCACCCAGCAATACAGCCCTGCAGCAGCCTCTGCCATAGCCGCAGCTGCTGCGGGGGTGGGGGAGGCCCAGCTCCGCTCACCAGGGTTGCCAGCTGGTCAAGCACCTCATTGATCTGCTGGCTGTATACAAGCCCAATGTGGGACTTCCCCATCAGGCGCCGGACCTTCTTCCGGATGTCGTTCTTATTCACCTGCAAAGCCGAGGGAGAGGCCTGAGATAGAGACCAGAAGAGGGACAGAACAAGCTTTCCCCCTACCCAGAAGTGAACCCTGAAAGGCCACATTGCTGGGCACCAGAACAGCTGAGAGGGCACACACTGCCCTCGTGGCAGGGCGGGAGCCTGGCTCTGAGCAGCAGCTCTGTGGGACTCGGGGCCTCACCTGCCCACCCCAAGCAACACCCCAGCATTGCCCAAGGGCTCCTCACAGAAACAGTGACTCAGAGTGGCGACAATGAGACTCAACTGCAGGCCAGGTGCCACCCGGGCTAAGGATCGTTACCTTGCCCAGCTGGGGTCAGCCAGTGCTGTGGGAATATGACAGAGTAGACAGAAAATGGAGCAAACTACGAGAGCCTGCAGGGCCTTCTCTGTGTTTAGCTGATGGTTTCGCACTTCCTGAGGCCAGGAGAGCAGCAGGAGAAACTCAGGGCTCCTTCTCAGAACAGCACGCTGGTCTGTCTGTCTGTCTGTCTGTCTGTCTGTCTGTCTGTCTGTCTGTGTCTATCTTTCCATCTTTCTCAGTGATACCGAGAGATGGAACCCGGGGGTGCCCTACCACTGAGCTCCATCTCCAGCCCTTTTTATTCATTGTTATTATTATTATTATTATTATTATTATTATATTATAATATTTTGTCTCTTTGAAACAGGGTCTCATTGTGCAGTTCAGGCTGGCCTTGAGCTCACTTTGTAGCCTGGGCTGGTCTTGAATTCCCAACAATCCCCCTGCCTCAGCTCACTGAGTGCTGGGGTAACAGGTATGCACCACAGCCACTGGCTTCAAAGCGACTCCCTTCTGCCCCCCGCTCCTGAGCTACATGTGCCTTTTCAGACTAAGACTCTTCTACCTGGCAACTTACTTCTTTCACAGCTGTAACCAAATCAAACAAGAACTCACCATTATTTTGATAATGGGAGTTCTTCTTTTTTTAAAAAAATATAATTTATATGCTTTTTAATGGCTTCTTTGTAACAAGTGTGAATAGACATTTGATGTTGGGAGCTCTTCTTACAGGAAATCCTGTATGATAAAGGGATGGTGCTGAAAAATTCTGAATGTTTTTCATTCAGAATGATGAATGAATGTTGAAAAATGTTCTAGGGTTTTAGAATCTACTACTCTAAGTAATAATATAATTATAACTTATTGGGTTCTTTGGGGAGCTCTATGACATTCTGAAACAACTTGTCAAAGAAAGCCCATATAAAGTTCAAAATAAATAGTATGAAATGATCATTTATCTTTCAGCTTCCATAACCAAAACCAGTCTGGCAACTGCAGCTAAAAGGACCTTGCACGGGCCAACAGAGGCCTTCGCCTCTGAGTCAGGAGGGGAGCTCCTGTAAGCTTCCCGAGCACCCCAGACTCAAGCAGGAGGAATAAGCCTCATCCTGCTGGCCTCGGCAGAGCCGGACATACAGAAACCCAGTGCGACCTTCATCAGCAGCATATAGGAGATGAGGTTGTGCAGCAGGGTGGCCAGCAGGCGGTCCTCGTCATCCTCCAGGCGCTTCCGGTCGTGGTCTCCCAGGGACAGGTACCTAAGCAAAAGACAGGCCTGAGCCAGGTGTCCCGTGCAGCCGCAGAGCCGTGTAAGCGTCCCAAGCTCCATACCTGTCAATCATTTCCTGGGGACCCTGGTCCATCCCCATCCCTTCTCTCTCCAACATCACAGCATCTAAGAACGCATCTTCCCAGAACTGCATCTGGTCCCATAATGTGGAACGCTCTTTGCCTAGGGAGAATAAAGTTCTTTTTAGGGGCTTACTTAACATTTGAAAAACACAGCTGCCCCATGGAAAGTGTAGACTTCAGATAAAAGGGAGTCATTCCAAATTCTAGGAAAAGGAAGCATCAACTTTTCTACCCCAGATCTAGTATTCCTGCCACCAGCCCCCGACACCTCCAAGGGAGGCCTGGTCCCTCCCAGCAGTAGCATGAGCACAGCACACAGAGAGAGGTGGTTACTTATAGAAAAGGTCTCCATAGCAGCATCCTCTAGCTGGTCCCACATTGATCCTTTGTCCCTTCCTGCCAGTTTGGAGCGGGAAGAATCATGGTAGCAAGAAAGGGAAGAAGGGAAGACAGAAAGACAGCGCTGTTGGTGAACACCAAAGTCCAGTCTCATCTAGTTCTCACCCACTGCTTGTTTAGACCTCATAGGTCATCTGCTTCAGATATAAAAATGCGATGTGTTGCTAGGAAGTTGGCTCAGTAGAATTACTGCTTGCCTGGCAAGTGCAAGGGCCTGAGTTCAATCCCCAGTTCCACAAAAAAACAAAGACAAAAACAAAAAATAAACAAACAAAAACAGGGGCCGGGGAGATAGCTCCGTAGAATAAGCGCTTGCCTGGCTAGCACAAGGGCCTGAGTTCAATCCCTGGTTCCGCCAAAAAAACCACAAAATGATGTATCTGACATCAGCACAGAGATTACAAAAGCCAAGCAGCTGCAGCTTGGCAGCTCCTTCTCCCCTGGCTGAACCCGGCTTCCTCAGTCAAGAGGCCTGCTGGGCCCACATCTTACCTAGGAGTCCCTCATAGAGATAGACCCGCTGGCTTACATCCTCGGAAGAGCGAACCGGGCTGCCTGCCAGCTTCTCCTTTGGCTTCAAGCTGTGGGCTTTACCCTAGAGAGACAGGGGCAGGTTGGTGACACGAGAGATGATGAAGAGACTAAGTAAACCAAGCACCTCGGTGCCAGGCTCCCAAGCCAGCCGCCACTCAGCAACTGTGCAGCCCTAGCCCCCTGCCGCCTGCCTCTGGGACCTGATGATGAGTCAGTATGACAATCCCGCCTCCAAACCCAAGCTAGCAAGTTTCTCCGTTGATTTATCTTTACTCCTTAGTCTCTGTACAGCATTTTCTTAAGACAAAGCAAAGCAAAATAAAACAAAAAAATACCACAGGCTGATTCTCTGCAGTAGTCTGACACAGTAGAAAAACAGGATTTGAAGTCAAAGTGAACCAGTTCAAATCCTGGCCTCCTATCAGCTTTGTGCTCTGGCCCAAAACTTAGCTTCTCTGAAAAAATTTTATTCATTTTACTCATTTATAAAAGAAAGGCTATAATCCCTACCTTACAAGCATAAGGCAAGGATTAACTTTTTTAAGGATTAATTTTTAATACTGAGGGCCGGCCAAATAGCTCGGTGGATTAAAGCACCTGCTTAGGCAGATGCAGGGGTTGGGAGTTTGATCCCTGAGCCTGCCATGCCGGCCCTACCCCGGGGGCGCACTGAGCCAGAGATTGAGACTGGTGGTGCATGCCTGTAATCCCAGTGCTTGGGAGGCTGTAAATAGGAGGCTCACTACGAGTCTGATCTACATAGTGAGACCCTGTAAACTCTGTATTAAATACAAAAAAAAATTTTTTTCATACTGATTTCATTACTTTTTGCAGGTGCTGGGGTAGAACCCTGGGCCTGGTGCATGCTAGGCAATCACTGTACAGCTGAGCTCATAAGGGTTAGACTGGGGGCCGGGGAGATGGCTCAGTGGAATAAGCGCTTCTCTGGCAAGCGCAAGGGCCTGAGTTCAATCCCTGGTTCCGCAAAAAAAAAAAAAAAAAAAAAAACCCAAAAGGTTAGACTGAAAAACACACAAAAAGCACTTAATGGTGCCTGGCACAGGGCTGGCAACTGAATTAAAGACATTAATTTCCGCTTTCCATTTCCTAGGGAGGCATATCACTACCTTCCTTGGCCATTTCTATTGATTCACACAAGACTTCACCTCAGGAAAAGGTAGGTGCTGCACTGTAGTGCCGTGCACTTGCAGGCCACGATCAGTGGAGAAGCCCCCGGTCAGGGATTACAGGGCTGAACCTAATTAGGGTGACTAAGAGCCAGTCTCCTGCATCACAGCCAATACCTGGCTCAGTGCACCATCTTGATTTAATCTACTTCTAGTTAAAAAAGCATTTCCTGAGCCAAGAAATTCAGGCAATTGCTCTCAGCAACTCAGCTGCCCAAAGCTCCCCTGCACGAGAGCAGTGAGACTGGGACCTGGAAGGCTTCTTGCAAGAGCAGCACTGGCTGGACGGTACTCCTCTCTACAGGCAGAGCAGACATGTGCCGGGGGAAAGAGATGCGCAGGCTGGAACCGCCCACGCTGACTCAGAGTCACCCTGACCCTCGCCCCGGTCCCAATCTTCCCTCTGGGGAAGGAAAATGTGTGCAGAAGGTTCTGGTCACCACTGTTAATAGATTTAATTCGTTTTATCTTCCATTCTCCCCACAGAACCAAGATAAGTTCCTGCGGCGAATACCCACTGTCCTCCCTGCCAACAGAGGCGAGTGGGTCAGAGCCTTGGCACAGCCACCTGCGCGCTGCAGGCCCACAGCAGCTGCCCAGCTACACTCACCCCAGCAGCAAGGGAACATCAGGTGGCTGCGGGAGAAGCTTCTGCTCCCTCAGGCTTTGCTCTCCACCCACCAGAAGAGAGCAGCTGCCTGCAAGCGGGATCATGTCCACGCCACCGCGTGCCTTTGCAATGGAATCTGGCACTTGTACGTCCCTTCCTAGTTTTTTTTTCGTTTGTTTTTGTTTTTGTATTTTTTAGGGAAGGGTCCACAGGGTGTTCAGGGCCTCACTACCAGATCAGACTCATAGTGATTCTGTTCACAGCCTCCCAGGTGCTGGGATTACAGGCACATGCTACCACGCTCAGTTCAGCTGCCATCTAAGCATGCCCGGGGGCGGGGCCAGCATGGCAGGCCCGGGGACGGAACCCCCAGCCCCTGCTTGCAGGCCCTAGGTATTTATTAATGAATGAAACATCACGTAACAGTTTGGAATGTGCTACAGTGAGACACTTTGCAAGCACTATCTGGACACAGTACAGACCAGACTAGAACTCAATTACAGTGGACCCTCAAATTAGGATGGCCTGACACACAAACAAGTTGGGTCATGACTGAAACTTTAGAAGTTTTAACTGACAACCAAAGCCTGTAGTTATAACGCGAATTCTGGCCGTGTGTGCTTCCAGATGGTCTCAGGTACAGAGTTAGCCTTACAGGGCTCTGGAAGGAGCACCACACCACCTTTTCCTGTATGGGGTTAACTGAGAAATCCTGGCCAGTGCCTCCCCAAGGACACTGAGATCTGCCTGTAGAGAGGAGAGATACTTTCAAGGCTGTGTAGAGGAGCCCGAGCCTCCGACTGACAACCGGGGTCACACCCAGCCCTCGGGAACACACTGGGCTCACAAGTCAAGGGGCCTCTGGAGTCCGCAGTTATAGGCAGCCTGGCACCTCCTAAGAGCTGCATGTGGCCCGGCACTGCTGGACAGCTACTGCTCCTACCACTGGGGACTGGACGCCCTTCTCCAATCACAGGGCCCTGATTTGCCCATAATTCAGAAGATCACACAGCCAAATGACTGTGCAGAAAGCCTTAAGACACATTTTCCATCCCTTTCTGCTTGTCTTATTTTCTTGCAGGGCTCAGAGTGGCATCCGGCGCCATCGACATGCTCAGCAAGTGCTCTACAACAGAGGTACATCCCGCCCCATCTTTTCCTTCTGTCTCTTAACTTCTCACTCTTCTCTAGCCCACGTCCCTCCCCCGTTGAAGAACCAGTCTTCCTGTGTCAGTAAATAAAGCTTACAAAGATGGCGCTTGTGGCAGAGTTGGTCTCAATTTCACTGTCAGACAAAGTGCCCCGAGAACTTGCCAGGTGGGCACTGCCCTCGACACCTGGTCCGTCACCTGCGTTGCTGCTCAGGTCACTGTCCGCACCGAGGGTCTCTCCAGAACTATTACTCACCTGGAAAGGGACGGGGTGGTCAGGGCCATGCCCAGGCGAGGCGGTTCTCTGCTACCCACAGCCCGGTGTGTCCAAGAGCCTTCCAGCGCCTTTCTAAGCCAGAGAGAGGCCCAGGACGGGTGCACAGCTCCGTCAGCACCATTCTATCCTGAGGCTGAGAACGGCCTCTGGAGAGAAGGAGCCCCTGCCTGGGGTCCGACCCCGCCCACCAATGCCAGTGTGGTGCCCCCTACCACGGTGCTAACTTCAGAATCCTGACTGGAGCTTCGGATCAGAACAGCTGGACTCACACTGATGATGGAGTCTTGATCAGTCCTCTGCAAGAAGACACGGTGTAGACACAGTAGGGAGTGTCACCTACTCCCAGCTGCCCTCCCCAGTACTGTCCCTTCCCGCTTCCCACGCCCACCCTTCGGATCCAGCCCTGAGACAGGTCATGAGTCATGTGTTCCTTTACTCAATAGCAAATAGTATACTATACACAATGAAAAAGAAAGAAAACTCATTAAACAAATACGAGCTCACTGTTAAAAGCACATAAAAGAATAAGGACGTAAAAACAAGCCACAAGTCACCAAGGAAAGTATATTTCCCTTCTATCTTTTCCAAGTACAACTTAAAAATAAAAACAGAGTCACAGTGCACATAGCTCACACTGCATCGTTCCACGTCACTAAATTTTTGAAAACACCTTTAATAGACACTGTTGTATTACCTCCATCTATGGTATTTAACCATTCCTCCATTACCAGGTATTTACGTTGTTTTGAAGCTTCTTTCACTTTTTCTTAACTTAAAAGTATTCTGAAGCTGGGTGTGATGTGTACACCTGTAATCCTAGCAATTGGGCAGCAGAGGTAGGAGGCTCACCGTGAGTTTGAGGGCAGCCTGGGCTACAAAGTGAGCTCAAGGTCAGCTTGAACTACACAGTAAGACCCTCTTTCAAAAAAATCAAAACCAAAACCCTGAGGGCTGGGCTGTGGCTTAGCAGCAGAGGGCTCAGGTAGCCTGTGTAAAGCCCTGAGTGTAAACCCTAGGGCCATTAAAGTACTCTGTGATAACAAATTTAATTTTCTCCTTTTGTTTTTTATTTCTGCAATACTAAGGGTTGAACTCAGGATCTTCACATTGAGCTACAACCTCAGGCTTTTTCATCTAGAGACATGGCATGTCGTGTCACTAAACTGCCCAGACTGGGCTCAAACTTGTGATTCTCCTATCTCAGCCTCCCAGAGTGTCAGGATGACAGCACTCTGATTTGTTCTCCTTTTTATTTTAGGACAGGTCTATAGGGTCTACAGGGTCCCACTGCACAGATTGGCCTCGTAGTGATCCTCCCGTTTACAGCCTCCCAAGTGCTGGGATTATGCACCATCATGCCCAGTCTCAGTTGCCGGCTCAGTGCGCACAGCAGGCCCTGGACTCGAACTCCGGGGCCCCTGCATCTGTCTAAGCAGGCGCTTTAATCTGCTGAGCTACTTGGCCAGCCCTACTCTGCTGATTTTCAACAAAGCTGTCACAAACCTGAGAAGCAGATGTCAGGCTCACACCGCTGTCGGCGCTGATCTGAGACTTTTTCTCTTCTGTCTCACCAAGGTCAAAGGTGGGTTTGATTACTTCCGGCCCTGAGAAGGGGAAGATTTTTGTCACTCAGCACACAGAGGCTGTGGCAACGGTAGCTGGAGAAGGGAGTAGGACAGCAGCACTGCCCTGTCCCAGTCACCTTTCCAGGGATATTACCCAGACCCAGTGGAGGAGGGACCCAGGTGCCTTAAGAACCAAACAGAACAAATGATAAGCCCTGGTCTCAGGGGACTCTGGACTCATCTTCTCAGCTGGAGAAGATGCTGAGTAAATCACCCTAGAACAGAAATATTCCACCGAAGCCCATGCATACTCCATGGCTTCCGGAGCCAGAGCCTCATTGAAGCTCAGGCCACCTAAGTCCCCAGGTCGTTAGCACTTCCCAGATAATCATGTTCAAAGGAGCTAGGAAAGGCTAGGCCCAAAGAGAAATGAAATGCCCGCCCCACATTCCCTATAACAGCTACACTGGACGAAAACCCTAACAACCACCCTTTTACCCCACCCCCACAATGGTATGACAGAAGGACAGGATGACAGGAAGCAGGAAAGCATGCCTAGGCAAGCCACCAGAGAGGTGGGCAGCTACAGACTCAACACAGAGGGACAGCAACCATCTCTGCCAACTATGCCCACAGGCCTCCTGGCGGTGGGGAGCGGTCAGCCAAAAGGGGTGCCGCAATCCGCAAAGCCTCCCCCACCAAGGTCTGGGGGATTTCTCCAAGACACCCTGTGTGCTGGGGCGGAGCAGGAAGCAGCCTACAAGCCGTACGCCTAGAAGTCATACACCACCTACCTGCTTTTAGGCCAAATACCCCCCAAGAGCAAATTTGGGGTGGGGCTCAGCAGGGAGACTGCCCCAACTGGACCTGGGGAGTTGGCAGGTATGGGAGACTTGGGGACAGGAAGGGGCATTTGTTCCTTACTCTGTTTTTCCAAAGCTTTTTGCTTTTTCACTTCCTGGTGCTTGTTCCACAATTCTACCCCAGATGCAATGCAAGCAGGAGAAAAAGGAGAGAGTCAGAGGCTGGTCACACGGGTGGAGGGGACACCCACCCACCCAAGTAGACTGTGTCTCGGGCACAGGATTACCAACCAAGAGATATGAAGTGTCTTCACAGGGCATGGGGGCAAGAACCACAACATCTAAGGCCTTCCCCCAACTCAGAACTAAAGATTCAAATTCTAAACCAGACCCCAACACAGCAGTAGAAATCATGGGAGGGCCTGCAGGAAGCTCTTCGCTCTGACCTTAGGAACTTGGTCCTAGACAGCCTGGACTTGGTGCTCAAGAGCACATGATGTAACGTAACATAACATAATGGAATGGAACGTGGGACCAGTTGGAACTCCCACCAGACCAAGCCTTCTGCTCAAGGAGCTGGGAACAGCAGTCCTGACACACACCAGGTGACAGAGATGACTGTCCCCTTCAGCCAAGCACTTTGGACTCAACGGCTGCACAGAGCTAGTTGACATCCCCATTTACTGCTCGCCAGAGAACAAGTCCTCCTCAGAACTAGTGCCTGCCCTACCAAGAGACCCACACTTAGCCAGCTGCTTGGGCATGTTTCCAGAAGAAGTGACAAAGAACACAGAATGGCTTAGACTAGCATCTCACAGGGCAAAGCAGAGAGGATTCCAACTGTAGTGATTCTGCTCCTAGAAGGGCCCTGAGTTTACTGGCAGGCCCTCCTCATTTCCTAGAAGAGACAGGGAACTGAGGGGACATGATTGGCCCAAACATTTCTAGTTGGGGGCAGGTACAGGACTACAACTCCCTGACCCCAAAAAGTGGAGGCCTCAAGTGGCAGCTCCCTTTCTAGAATGTTCTGTCAGGAGAGGAGAAAGCAGGGTCACCTGCCTCCAGAAAAATGCTGGCCAGAGAAACGGAGTGCCCTGGAAAGGGAACTGGTTCCTCATCACCATTTATGGGGCCATGAGGCAGGCAATGGCTAGTGGCTATGAGGAAGAGGCATCAGCTAAGTAGAGTGCCTGGGGACCCAGAAATCAGCAAAAGATGTACGTGGACAGCCTGCATGACTCTGGCCAAGGGGAGAGGAAGCCCAACCAAGGTGACTCCAGAGAGTGTAGAGAAACACAACCCAAGCATGCTGCTAATGGAGCCAGCAGAGAAAGGGCTAAGAGAAGAGCTGAAGTGGAGATCTCCAGCTCTGAGGCCCTGACCCCAGAAAGTGGAGGCCGCAGACACGACACCAAGCAGCAGAGTCCTGGCAGTCAGCTCCTGGCTAAGGAAAAACTGCCTTCAGAGACCAGGATGATCATCAGTTTACAGCCCAGAGCGGAGTCTATAAACTTCCTTACAGCTTTCTGGAGCTCACATGGACTCTTGCTATGTGAAGAAATCCAGAAATAAAAAGAGGGACAAGGAGCACAGCACAGACTCCCAGTGCTACGCCTCACAGGCCTCTGAACAACGCTTCTGTTCTTCCTCTAAGATGTCAGAGTGGGGGCGGCTACAGATGGAGCACAAGGGACAGAAAAATATAAAGCAATGCCACTGGAAATAGACATAGACCTATCACTCTTTCTAGAAAGCAAAGCATGGAAGAGAGAAAGGCAGGATTCTGGATGGATTGAGAAGAGGAAGGGATATTTAAGAAGCCAGGACCCCGGCAGCACACCAATTACAATGATACGTACCAACAGATGCTACAAAATTCTCCTCCTTTAAACTTCTGGTGTCCGGTTCCTTAGGACCCTTTCCTGTGGCACTTGGGGCCCGAGGTCCCAGCTGGGGGACTCTCAGCTGGGCCATAGCCTTTGGGTCCCCCCGCCCAGCCAGACCAGGGTCCTTGCCAACTGGGGTATTTACACCTTCTGTGGGACTTCTCTTCCGCTTGTCTGGCTCTGAGAGGAAAATCAAACAGAGAAGGAGGTTAAGAGAGGTAGCAAATGGGAATACGGGTAAGGAGAAGGAGGTAGTGAAGCCAGGAGACAGGAAGACACAGAATATAGAAATGCGGGGAAGGCAAAGTCAACATCACAACGCAGAGTCTTGCCCACTACGTATGCACACACTAGAAGAGAAAATCCCCAGCCCGGTGGGGGCTCACCATGGGACAAGGTGCCAGCCCGTGGAGACGAGCAAGGGGTGGGGTGCCCTACCTTTGCTATAGTAGTGGGTCTGGGCGATCTCTAGCAGCCCAAAGATGCTGGCCATGCCCCCGAGCCCTGCGTGGGCATATGACTGTTCCAGGCTGAGCACCGTGCACTTGAGGAGGTCCAGCATGCCCTTGTACACCTTCCGGCTGATCTCCTGCAACCACAAACCAGGGCCTGGTGTGGGCAAATTCCCTTTGGGACCCACAGCCTTCTGCCCAGGAGATTCCCACAGCCTGGTCCCAGTGCTGACCACGTCTGGGATGATGTCCTGCCGAGCCTCGTCCTCGGACTGTGACACACGGTTCAGCTTGCTGAGGACGAAGACCCGCAACTGCTCGCTTTCCAGCAGCCGCCGCACCTTCTTCATGTTGAGCCAGCCCACGCCCTGGCCATCCAGCACGCTGTGTACCACCTCCTTCAAGAACTGCTGGTTCTCACTGCAAGGCCACATGCCACACTGCAGTGTCAGCCACCAGGCAGAGCAGCGCTCCGCTCACCAGGCCGAGGCAAAACCAAGCCCTGTGAGGCCCTAGCCTCCGTACCCTTTCCCACCAGAAGCCAGGACTGCCCCGTGGAGACTGGATGGGAATGGAAGGGCTGGCAGGGAATCTACTTCCTCTCCTCCAAGAGTTTCCTCCACATCTCGAGGTCCCTGAGTTCTGGACAGGAACCACTACCCACCCTGAGGACCTTTGCGTCTCGCGCTCCTGAATGAACCCAGAGCCGCTCTCCCACTGGTTTATATCTCAGCCCCTGATGCTTCCATCTCCCAATAGGGCCTCACTGCACCAGCCAGGCTAGCCTCGAACTTGACATTCTCTCTGGGTAGAAGGGCTTAGAGGAGTGCATCATCGCGCCCAGCTACTCTACCTGAGAGCTCTTACAACAGTGTTGCCGCTCATTACCTCGAGTTGCTGGACCGGCCCTGGGGTGACGGGGGCTCTCTTTTCACTGTGGGGCTGTGTTTAATCACAGACGACTTCTGGTCCACCAAGGCCCTCCTGTTTCCTGTAGCGAGGAATGCAGGAAAGGCAGATGTCACTGCCGGCCGGGGCTTCCAGCAGCACAGCCCCGGGTGGCAGTGCTCTGCACCCAGGCCCAGCAGGGCAGCTGGGCTGGCACCAGGGCGGCACACACAGGCAGAAAGCAGCCATGGCAATGTGGAGGAGGTAGGGATGGAGACGGCTGCTCCACATGCACCGCACACGCCCCTCGGGCAGCATGGGCTCTCGGGACGGCAAGGCAGGTCACTCAGGGGAGGCCGCTTGCTCCACGAGGAGGATGGCCCTCAGGCAGGCACGGAAGATGCTAGGAGAAAAGAGACCATGCACAGCTCACGGGCAAGACCCACCTTCACCACTCCCGGGGCCGGCTTCAGTAACAATCTCCATTAGAGTATTTAGCCCAAATACTGGGACACAAAATACACAATTAGTAGATGCACCACCATACCACAACCCATACACCCTCTGATGGAGCAGGAAGTCAAGCGTCTGAGAGTCCTCCCAAAGCTTCAAGCTTGCATGTGACCTTGGTTCTCAGTCACACTAGCGCTGGAGGCTAAGTGACCCGGAGACAACCAGGGTTCCAAGAAAGACCATCCTTAAGGCTGGGCTCCTCGAAGCCAGGACAGAGTAATGACAAAGGGAGCCTCGATGCTCAACAGGCACATGCGTGTTTAGCACAGGGGTCCAAAGGCCTGGGAGTGTCCACAGGCAAGAGGCTCCTCTTGCAGCCACTGTCATGGGAAGTGGGGGGACATGAGGATGGGAGGTGCCAGGGGTATAGGAGCAGCGGATGGGATGAAGCGCAGCGTGCAATGAAGGTTTCAATGCTCGCCCCTCCTGGTGGATCCTACAAAGCCAGTCACATAACCCCTTTCACCCCAACCCACCTGGCCACATCTGGAGTCCCTGCACTGCCCCCTGGGGTTCTTCTGCCCACCTTGCCCACGTTCCCCTCCCCACTGGAGGCTCCATTACTTATATCCTTGGCATTTTCAATGAGTGTGAGTGAAAGCTCAGTCACAGGACACAGAGCTGCTTCCTACCATAATTAACTAGTTTAGCGCAGCAGCCACTGAAAACAATGGAAAGCCAAATTCACTTCAACGAGGCCCCTCAAACTGTCAGAGGCCCCAAGTGAACTGAAATAAAGCCTAGAAAGCCAACCAAAATCCACTCAGCCTACTCCCAGGCCCAAGATGGGCCCTAGCCCTAGGAAGAGGCCAGCTCCATCAGCACCACCAGGCCTCCATGGGCATCCTCCAGGGGCAGCTCCTGGGCACAGCTTCATCCTAAGGGTGGGCGACTAAGGACAGCTGATGACCCCTAGGTCAGTCATGGATTTCTGACCAGGTTCTCCCCACCTCCAGAAGCAGCCATGGTGCCACAGTTGCCATGAACCTACGTGACAGAACAGGGCCTTTCCTATGTATGGGACAGTTTCCACCTGACAACCATGCCTGTGATGTGCAGTGAAAGCCGTGAGAAGCAAGTGAGGGCCACATCCGGCCCCAGGGCTCCAGGTCCAGGGCGCCTGACGAGCATGCCAGGTCTGACAGTCTCCTAGGAAAACCTGGCTCGGCACAAGAAAGGCCGTCATTACCTTTCAGACTGGGGAAGGGCGTGGTCTTCTCTCGAGCACCCTTGGTGGGCAACGTGAGGTTTGAAAGGCTGAAGCTTGTGCTGTGGTTCCGGTACAGGCTGCCTGTCAGGGGAGGACACAGGACCAACAGTTTAGCGAGAAAATCCAAACACTGAGGCCTGGAACTGGCACGACCCTCACTGCCCTCCTAAGCGCATGTGGCGTGCTGGGCCGGATGCTTGCTGCTCTTAGAAGGGAGGGTGTCTAACTTGGGTAGACAAAGGAATCACCACCAGTAATGCTCAAAGCCCAGTGACAACTCTCACAGGCCACCTGTACTATCACCTGCTGCTCACCTGAACCAGATGGCTTCTGGCCTGAGGTGAGAGCTGTCCAGCCCTGGCTTCTGAGAAGTCGCACAGTCACGTTGTCCCCCGAGGGCTCTCTGCCACCCACCCCGCCTTCCCACACACTGAGAGCAATACCACCCCTCACTGCAAGGACAATCTCCAAGGATAAAAATCAAGCTCATGCAGACTCCAAAGAATGTTCACAGAAGTCCCTCAGTAGCAAAGGAAACATCTGATATAAACCTAAAGTAAATCTGACCAGGACATTTCTATAAAGTAGTGATTTTGAGTTTAATGCTTGGTTTTTAATGGACTGCTCAGCTATTTTGCCTGAAACAGACAAAATCTCCAGATACAAACATCGAGTGACTGGGCCAGGGAGACAGCCCAGCTGCATCAGCACCTGCCTGGCAAGCACAAGGACTCAAATTCAATCCCCGGTACCTCAAAAACAAAACAAACACTGAGTGACTGACTGATCTACCTGTCCTTTACAGGCCCCATCTAGAAATCCTCTCCGCAGTATCACCAAAAATGGCTTGATGATGGCACCCAGCCCTACATCTCAGGCAGACGGGAGGGACAACTGAGCTCAGGTACTCACTGGCAAACGACATGATTCCCCCGAAGCCCTCGGCACTGGTGTTGGAGACGGTGGAGGTTGGGGAGCTTGCGCGGGAGTCCGACTCTGCGTCCGAGTCACTTGCCAGCTTCAAGCTGTTGGGCCGCAGCAGCTTTTGAGCCCTTGAATGCACAGTGGCACCTATGAGCCCCAGGTGGGGGACCCGATCTCAGGGCAATGGGCCTCAGGCTACACTGCAGTCATGGCAGGGCAATGGGCCTCAGGCTACGCTGCAGTCATGGCTCCCTCCCCAGGATGCCTGGGCCCCTGGATCAAGCACCAGCCTCAGGGATGGCAGGCCCTCAAGGACACTCTGCTGGGGTGTACTGCTGCGAGGTCCTCATCACCCATCTGGGAGGGACCCCACTCTCACCGACTGCCATGGACATGCTGGCTGAAGCGGGGTGTGTACTGCTCCCCCTGCTCCTCCTCATCCTCCTCCTCCTCCTCGGGGGGAAGGCCACACTGGGACTCCAAATATAGGCCATCACAAGCTCGGCGGCACACTGACCCCTCTCCACTCTCTGCCTGCCGCCGGTCCATGCCCACTTTGCTGAGGCTGGAAGGCCCAGTAGGAAGGGACTTGGAGATGCCAACGGAGGACTTGTCCATCTCTGTGTAGTCAGCAGGTTCCTGAGGGCCACATCCAGTAAGAAGGTCACCTGGTACCCAGAGTGCCTTTCCACATCCCCAGTTTGGCAGGGCAGGGCCCCCACCTGTCCGATTCCTATCCTGTGGCATATATAGGCAAAAATATTTGTGGCACCCTTGGTCTCTGCCTTCACAAATTATATACAAGGGATCTTAGCTGTACCCCTAAAAATATTGTGATCTCCTGGAGTCAAAACTATATCCAGGGGCCAAGGAAATGGCTCAGTACAAGAAGCGCTTGCCTGGCAAGTGCAAGGGCCAGAGTTCAATCCCCGGTTCTGCCAAAAAAAAAACCAACAAAAAACTATATCCAAGAAGCTCCAAGCCATGATGCCTAAGGGAGACGGATGGACAAAATGTGCCTCACAGACCCGAGGCCACAGCCCGACTGCTGTCACCACGCCCTCGCGTACAGGGTTGGCTCCATGGATGACAGTGCTGGGGCTGCTGCTGGCAGTGGTGCTGGAGCTGGAGCGCAGGGCAGGTGTTTCCTGAGTGTGCTCGCTGTCAGGCCCAAGCTCCTCTACTTCCTTCTGGTTCTGCAGCTCATCAATCGCCACCTCACTCGCATCCCCCAGTGCTGCATGCGTCAGAGGGTCCACATCTGCCGGAACCCAAGGGACACAGGTGAGACGGCCTCATCCCTGAGCCTCGCCAGTGCCAGTGGAGGTCCCCAGTATACTTACTGGGAGTATCACCATTGATGTCACATTTCATCATCTCACTGACGAAGTCACCAAGCGAGGAGTAAGAAGAGCTTGAGTCGTCGTACTCCATACTGTCGCTGCCACTGCCACATGAGCCGCACAAGGCAGGAGGAGCGAGGACGGACATGGGGAAGGAAGCAGATGGACAAGGTAAACAATCTGCAGCTAGAATCTAGAACACATCACCCAAGACCAGGAGAGAAGGAAGCCAAGCAAAACAATTCCTCAACACATAACGCAGTGCCTGGCCGCTACTGCCTATGAGATTCGGTCTCCTGTGTGCTGAGGATGGGCCAGTGAACGAGAGAGGGATGCTCACCTGTCATCAGTGGGGTCGGAGTCTGAGTCGCGCTCCGGCGGCACACTCAGTGCCTCAGCCAGCTGGGAGCTGCCATCATAGACTCGGTAGTGGATGGGCTGCAGCTGGTGGGCATACCACTTGGGCTTGTCACCAATCAGGGCCGGATCAAACATATCTGTCCCAGAGGAAGTGGGATAGTTAACAGCAAGGAGCAAAAGGCAAACAACACACAAAAGGAAAAGCAGGAGCCAGATGTGGTGGTGTAGGCCTGTAATCGTAGCACTCTGGGAGGCCTGAGGCAGAAGGACTGCAAGTTAAAATCCAGCCTAGGCAGCGTGGTGCACTTGCAAGACACTATCCCAATAAAATGAAGTGAAATGAAATAAAATAAAATAAAATAAAATAAAATAAAGTAAAATAAAATGGCTGGGGATAGAGCTCAGTTCATAGGCAGCCCTGGCTTTAGTCCTCAGTACTAAACAACAACTTGGGAAAAGCCTAGAGGCAAAACAGGAATGGGAGACTGGAACAAGCCAAGGGACAGGCCCCTAGAAGAGGCCACCAGAGGGCGAAGGGTACTCACTGTTGTGGATTCGCTGGAAGGCATAGTTGGTGGGGTTAAGGATCCATTCCCCAAAGTACTCCACGGCCTGAGTCCTGGCCAGTTTCTCAGCAAAGGGAGTCTGTCGGGGACGTGAGGCTAGAAAAGAGCCAGCCTGGAAGGCCACCACGGGCCGAGGGAAGAGTCGCAAGGTGCGCGTGTGCATCTGGAAGCCCTGCAGCACATTGGCAGAATTGAAGAAACGCACCATGGCCACTCTGTGGAGAGGGGACGCAAGATGACGTGAGAGGAGCAACCCCGAGAACCAGAGGCCTCAGATCACCTCCCAAAGCAGAGGCCGGAAAGAACTGGCACTGCCGCCTGAGACTGTCCTGAGCTACTCCTCTTTGCTTTTGCTTAGGTGGAAAATGCAACCAAACATCATGCAAATTTTGTAGATGAAGCAAGTGTGGCTCTGCAAGACAGTCTGCAGCGAAGGCAAGACAGCAGAGAATCACGCGGGAAGCTGGGATCCTGTCATCCGCTTGTTCTCACCTAGTGGCAACATCCACTGAATCCACGTCGTTGCCGTAGATGAGCGGGTTGAATTCAGTGGAGGGCGTGGACTGCAGGTCATTAGAAGGCCTTCCCAGGAGGAGCGGGATCTCTTGGCCCTCGTGGAATTTCTCCAGGTTGAGGATAGGCTGAGTGTTGAGACTCATGCTGGCCAGCGCCTGTCAAACAAGAAACCCCTCAGCTAAGGTGGATTTCTGGGTGAGTAAACCGATCTCCTCTCCCACGCGGGAGCCTTCTAAGGTCTCCTACATCGCACTCTCTGATCAGGATGCTCTGAACAAAGAACAGCACTCACTTGCAAATCATGGCCAACCCATTTTAGGATCTGCATCTTTTTTGTTGTTGTTGTTTTGGCGGAACAGGGGATTGAACTCAGGCCCTTGTGCTCGCCAGGCAAGAGCTTATTCACTCAGCTATCTCCCCGGCCCTAGGGCCTGAATCTTTGGGGAAAAAAAAATCCAAATATTCTGGCTTACAGAACTTAAGTCTAAATATGAAGCTCTTCATGTTTAAGCCAATCTAGCTCACAGCAACCAGACCAAACCTAGAGCTCAGGACAAGCTGACTAAATCTGAAGTCTGGAACCAGAGTTTCCAATTTATTTGAGTTACCAAATGTCTTTTACATTGAAATCTATACATAAAAAATAAGTTACTGTGATGTCAAAGATAGCTTCTTGGGTCAGAAGGGAATGGAAGCCCTGTGTGCTCGGCACTCACAAACTAAACGAGCCTCTAACAGGCTCATTTAGGCATAGCTGGGCAGTGTTTCTAAATATGAGTGAGCGTCAGGGTTACCCGGGGTACTACCCAAATGCTGGCTCTGATCCCGGGGGTGATTTCAACAAGCCCAGGTAAAGACAAAGCAGCTGGTCCGTGGACCACACTTTGAGAAGCAGGGTCAGAACAAGGAGCCCAAGGACCACAGGGCCTATGAAGTTAGAGTAAGGAACAGGCATCATTTCAGACTGGCCTCTCCTCTCAGCAGTTATACTTCACTAGCAGTGGAAAAGCAGCAAGTACAGATGGCAACAGAGGGCTCTGGGCCTGCAGCCTTGCGAGATGTCACATCACATGGGAAAAGACGAAACAGGTGAGAGCAGAAGGGGCGACATGAAATGACCTGAGTCCAACCCCGGGGGTGCCATCTAGGGGGACTACAGGGATTTTGTACAACACACACACAGAGCCCAGAAAGAGACTTCATGCACGAGGAGGCCTATGTGTGGTATTCTAGGGCAGGGCAGGGAGCAGAGCCTGGCCCAGCTTTACCTTTAGGTACTGTGGTCAGCATGCAGAAGAGGAAGAAAAGCAGCAGGCAGAAGGAAGGGGACACAAAACATATTAAATTGTGTCATGTACATGTCCCAGCTCCCCATGAGGAATGCGATCAGCATGTACTGCAAACATGTACAGTAAAACTAAAAGTTAAAAGGAAAGTGTAAGTACAAATAAAAAACTTACACAACACATAACTGCTATAATATTATACTAGGGATCAGTCTATGTATTTTTTCAAAAGTCCTCTCATATGAGAGAGATGTAGCAGCTAATCTCAATGTTATCAATGGAAAAACTAAAATATAAGCAATGGAATTTAAATCTCAAAAAAAAAAAAAAAAAAAAAAAAAAAAAAGAGTTGGGTGTGGTGGCACATGCCTATAATTCCAGCCCTTGCTGAGGCATGTGGAACTCAGGGGAATTGGGAGGACTGTTAGGGAGTTCAAGGCCACCATGGGTTACATAGCCAGAACCCATCTCAAAAAAAAAAAGAAGAAGAAGAAGAAGAAGAAGAAGAAGAAGAAGAAGAAGAAGAAGAAGAAGAAGAAGAAGACGACGACGACGACGACTAATGAATGAAAAAGTAGAAGTGAGATTCTTCAGAGAAAAGAAGTCTGAGGTAAGGATTCTGTAGGCACAGAGAGAATGTTCTGATGCCAAGAACAGTGGGCAGGACCCCAAGCAGAACCGAAGGCTCTTTCACATGGCGTCCTCAGTTTTCCAGGGTGATGGAGTCTGAGACAGAATTTTTGAGATTCACCCTGCTGCGTCAAATCGGAGTACGCCTCTTTTGACCACCCGGGACAAAGAAATGGAGTCCGTTTGCAGTCTGCAAAGAAACTGGCTCTGAGAATACCCATCTTCCTCCAGCGACCCCACGGCATCTACTCCTCCTCTCCTCCGTCCTTCACCCACCTGCTTTAAGTGTTTCTTCAGCTCCAAAGACTCTGGTTCTGGCAGGATGGGTAGCATTTCCGCGTTGGTGGGGGCAATCACCTGCACCAGAGAAGAGATAGCAGGCACGACCTTACACGACCGCTCGGGACCTCTGCTTATACACAGACAGCTAGCAAGACGAAGATTTACATACACATATGTGCATACACACATATGCGCACACACATGTCCCGGATGATATATCCTTCTTAGTGTTACGATAAGTATTTATATGCTCACATGCACACATAATACGCATACGTATTTTAAAGGAAATATGCCTGAGTGTGCCAGGTGACCAGATAACAGGCACGAGTCGTATTTCCTCCTTTACACTCACTTTTCCTTTCTAAAGTTTTATACTGCATACCTTTGGGCTTTTTACCAAACTTTAATTCATCACACTGCAAATGTTAATTTTTTAAAAGTCTGCATGGGAAGCATTTTTACTGGGAACTACTCATCAGCAGAACCATTAGGAGATGGTCTCCAGGGGTCAAGAGCGTGTGCCACAGCCAGCTGTCTGCTATCACTGAAAACTCTAAAGGGATCGCCATCACTGACCTATTCCTCAGACAACAATCCCACAAAAGGAGCCGCCCTACTGCTGACTTGAAGGGCACAGGGGGAGCACTCAATGCTGGCCAAAGCAAGTCCTGCTAATTCTTTGAACACTCACAAAGAGCCCATCTGGCCAACAAAGTGAAGCAACATTAGAAGGAATTATTTCAAGTAGCGCAAGAGAAATAATTCAAAGAAACAGGCTTTACAGACTTGGGTCTAGAATACAATCCCATTCTGGCCCTCCAATGCCTCAGCCCCGAACCTCACCCGATTGCTGTCCAGATCCACCAGCCACACATCATCAGGCATCTTGAAGTCCAGTTTGTAGAGAAAGAAGCTGGCAGGAACCCCAATGATGTACGGGGTTGGTGCCAGCAGCAGCTGTGGAAAGGACAAAGAGGGTAAGAAACAAATACCAAGCCTCCTGGAGTGTTTAGCCAGCCAGCATTTTTCTAGACAAGGACACGCAGAGCCACAACTCCCTTTCCAAAACCCTGAGGTTAGATGTGTTTCAAAATCGAGCCTTTTTAGATATTGGAAAAGTAACACAATGCATCTTCTGTGTGTGCCATAACCTACAGCAGTGTAGTGAGGAGTCTACAATCACCTGCTGTGACTAGCGCAACAGACCACTCCAAATCAACTGGATTTTACAAACACGTTACAGTGGCCCAAGTCCAATACTGGCTTCTGACATCTGTGGAAACTGTGCCTCCTCCCCCAGCAAAAAAGGAGACAACGGCAGGAGATGCCTTGAGATGCACCTGCTCTGCTGATGCCATGCACGTGGGGAGCAGTGGAATGACGGGGAACATGTACTCCAGCGGGTAGATCATAGCCACGAACGCCATCACGGACATGGAGAGCGCGTTGTAGTCTCGGGACTGCAGCACGACCTGCACAGCCACACCCCATCGGTCACTCAAAGGCACAAAGTAAGACCAACCAGAAAACACTTCCACCAGGGATGTAGCTCAGCAGCACAAGTGCCTGCCTGGTAAGCACAAGGTCCTGAGTTTGATTCCCAGTAGAAAAAAAAAAACAAAACCAGACAACACTTCTGATATGGCAATTCAATGACTTCTTTTTTGTAGTATTGGGGGTTGAATCCAGGGCCTCATGAATGTGAGCAAGAGGTCTAACCCCAAGCTGTAGCACCAGCCGTTTTATTTTTTATTTTTTTATTATTATAAATTTAAAATTTATTAATTTTTTTATTATACTGACTACAGAATATTTTAGCAATTGCAATTCTGATGTTTTACATGCTTCTGTCTGACTTAAATGAAAGCACCTGCCTTTTTAAAATTGTGCTTTAGACAGGGTCTCTTTAAACTGGAAAGCTGGTCTTGAACTTGTGATTCCCCTGCCTCAGCCTCTCAAGTGTCTGAGTTTCTAGGCAAGTGCCCACTGTGCCTGGTCCCATCCCATGCCCCAGAGCCCAAGCACTGAGTAACCCTCCCTCAATCACTACCTTCCTAGAGGGTTCACTCCCTGTCCCAGAGTCAGTCACTGAAACAGCACTCCTGGTATTTCCAGAGTTAGAGCAGGATACTCAGGATAACACCACTGAGCCGCAAGCCCATTGAATATATCCCACATAATACCAGCAATGCATTTAACCTGTACTGCTGAGTTACTATTACCTGGCATTGCACTCCCTCCTAGACACGAAGGAAATGAAAAAGACACAACCCTGTCCTCCGAGAGCTGGGGAGCCAGCCCCCGGCGCTCTGGCAGAGCTTGCGCCCGCGCACCTTGTGCTCCAGCAGGATGCAGGTCAGAACCTGGAGGCACGCGTCCACACCCAGCAGCTCCAGGGGCAGGTGCAGCGGGAAGTCCACCAGGCTGAACCGTGAGGGGTCTGGCAGAGCAAAGGTCAGGGGGGGCTGGAGCTCCTGAGGGAGGACCTCGACGTCCACTCGCTTCTGCCCAGAGACGGGGACTGGGGAGCGCAACAGGCGATAGATCCAGGCCTCAATCTCTCGGAGGTCATGCAGAAGGACACTGGATTTCTCCTCTACCAACAGGGATCCTGTGAAGATTCGCCACATGGTATCCCTGAGGAGCAAAGCGCAGGGGGTCAGACACTTAAGCAGTGGGAGCTGAAACACGACTGCAACAACGGAATTCCCCTGGGCCGAGGATAGAGCTCAGTGGTGCAGCACCTGCCTGGAAAGAGCGAGGTTGTGAGTTCGATTCCTGTTGCCAAAAATAAAAAGGAAACCATCTCTTTGGGAGAACCCACTCTCTGAGCTCAGAGGAGACCAGAGAGTTCAAACAGGAGCAAGGACAAGGGTAAAATTGTGGATATGTGCCAGGGGCAGTGGTGCATGCTGTAATCCCAGCCACTTGGGAGGCCGAGGCAGGAGGGTCAGAAGCTTGAGGCTAGCTTAAGCAACTTAGCAAGACCTAACAGAGGCCTAACTCTGCCGCACCCTTTTTCTTAACAAGGGCTCCGTGCTTCAGCAGGTCTGAAGGACCCAGGCTGTGGAGGTCATGTCCTCTGCCCCTCACAGCCCAATCACAGCCATATAAAGCACTTTCCGCCCTTCTCTCCGCTGGGAGCGCCTTACCTCTGGACGCCTCTCGGGATGGCCAGCTTCTTGCCCAGCAGCCGTTCGCTGCAGCAGTCCACTAGCCGTTTGAGGGTATACAGACACTCGCGGAAGGTGGAGAAGAAAGGGTAGTGGCTGAGCACGCACAGGGATGTCAGGGTGCTGTTGCGGGACCGGCTGCTGCCCTTGGCCCGGCGCTTGGTCCTTGGAGACTGGGTCACATCGGGGGTGGAGTCGGCCCGGGGAGGCTGCAGGGATGGGCCGCTCTCCGAGCTCTCGGGAGCCCCCTCTTCCGAGGCCTCGGTGGCATGGGTCCCTTCCTTCCCACGGGACCCTGCCCCACCTTCCCCCTTTTCTTTAGGCACCCGCTTCTGGAAGGAGCGGTAGAAGTTGACACAAATGCCATAACGTGTGACTCCAGTGTCCTTATCTGTGAGGGTGAAGACGAAAGAGGTGTCATCCCGTAGGCTCATGCGTCGCTGCCGCACACTCAGGCAGCCCTCTGGCTGGCAGAAGAACACAACATCCGGGGGCAGAGGGAACTCAGCATGATCCTCCAGCGGGTAGCGCCGCAGCAGCTCTGGCGTCTGGGCAACACTGTCACTGCTTGGGTGCCTGAGGACAGAGACAGAGTCGGCAGCCTGCAGAGACAGCACCCCACCAAACTGTGACCTCAGGCAGCAAGTCCAAGTCCAAATGCTCTTCTGGATAAAGGAACCTAACCGGGAAGTGTGGCTATTTCAAAGACACCCATCCTGACAGTTCCGCCTTGCAAACAACCACCAGCACCTGTGGCTGAGGAGCACCTCTCAAAGCGTGTGAGCTAAGAAGCACCAGAAGAATGCGAGCGGGTGGAGAAAGTAGGGAAGGCACATTTGCTAGAAACTCACAAAGACACCAAGAGCAGAGTTTTGCTCTGCCTCTGCAGGGACTCACACTCTGAATCCACCCCACATGCTGTCTCCCCTTCTGGGCTTGATGCTCTCATTGGGGTAAAATATCAGAGAGGAACAAGATATGCAAAGCCATGTGGAAATGGGGTGGAGAATAACCCGCTGACTATCCCAGACAGAGCAAGGCACAGTCTCTTCCTAGTAGGTTACCTGGCGCCTACGATCACGAGATAGTCAAGTAATCGAGGACAGAACTTCTTCTTCTGCACCATGGTTCCAATTCATCAGTTCATTTCTGAGAAACTTCAAGCAAGAAGTCAGCGATACCAGGAGGAACTCGAATATTATCTGAAAATTCAAGGTAGTAGGAAAGCCAGCCAAATAGCTCAGCGGATTAAAGTGCCTGCTTAGGCAGACGCAGCAGCTGGGGTTCAATCCCCAGCGTGCCATGCCAGGCGGGCCCCCGGGGCGTGCTGAGATGGGGATTGCGACTGGACATGGTGGTGCACCCCTGTAATCCCAGCTCTTGGGAGGCTGAACACAGGTGGATCACTATGAGTCTAATCTATGTAGTGAGACTCTGTAGACCCTGTACTAAAAAAATATCCTACTCTTCACAAGGTAGTAGGAAAAATGTACTGATAAGATCCACAGCTATACCTAAGGGAATCATGCCCCTCAAGTCCATCCCAGCTGGAGGCCTCACACACATCAGAGGCCTTGAGTCTCCTACTAAAGACAAGGGAACATGACACCTACCTAGCCCATCCTGTAGGCTTATCAGCTCAGAGTCAAATATCAAGAAGTAGGGTAAGTCCAGCATGGTAACACATACCTATTAATACCAGCATTCTAGGAGGCTGAGGCAGAAAGATCACAAGTTCCAACACTGTCTGGCCAACTTCACAAGATCCTGCCTCAAAAGTAAAAAATAGGCCAGCCAAATAGCTCAGTGGATTAAAGCACCTGCAAGCAGGTGCAGAGGTTGGAGGTTCAATTCCTGGCCTGCTGTGCCAGCCCCAACCCTGGGGCGCGCTGAACCAGCAATTGAGACTGGGTGTGGTGGCACACGCCTATAATCCCAGCTCTTGGAGGCTGTAAACAGGCAGATCAGTACAAGTCTGATCTAGTAGTGAGACCCTGAACACCCTGCAGACACTTCCTTAAAATACAAAGAAAGAGAAAGAGAGAGAGAGAGAGAGAGAGAGAGAGAGAGAGAGAGAGAGAAATAAAAAAGGGGGCCGGGGAGATGGCTCAGCACTTGTGTGGAAAGTGCAAGGGCCTGAGTTCAATCCCTAATTCCTCAAAATAAATAAATAAATAAAAATTTTAAAAAGGGCTGGCGGTGTCACTTAGGGCAAAGGCCCTGGGTTAAATCCCCAGTACAAAGAAGAAAAAAAGAAGGAAAGAAAGAAAGGTAAAAGGCTAGGGATCAGGCTCAGCGGTAGAGTTACTGCCTGGCATGTACAAGGCCCTGAGTTCAATTCTGAGCACAGAAAAGAAAAAAGATACCTAGATAGGTGGATGAATGGACAGATATATGGATGGATGGATGGACAGATGAACAGATAATGGCTGACCTCTCCACCCCTACCAAGCTAGCTCATTTCCAGCCTACCCCCTGGAGCTCTGCTCTGAAAGTGACTTCATTTTGGTTACCATGACTGAGTTCAAAACGGTCACTTTCAGAACGTGCTCCAAGAAAGATCAGGATCAAACCAGACTCACTCAGCACTTAACTGGCCTTTTAGGTCTAAATGAAACCTGTGCTAACAATCTGCATTCAGCTTGATGAGAAGCTACTGCACAGACTGTCTACTTAACTGCACCTGGACAATGACGACAGCTGACTATCTAGCACAGGTGATGCCATGTGGAGAGTGTCTGTGTCCCAAATCCCTCCCTCAACCACTCTGTCCCCTTCAGGCAAGGGTCTCTGCAGAGGCTGCTGCTAGCTCTGCCCTTGGTGCTGAACGAACAGTTCTCTATTCTAGTCTTGGGATTGGAGTCAGTAACTTAATCTGCAGAGGCAGCCTTGTCCCAGTCTAACTCACAGACATTGTGCATTAGGCACAGAAATATTAGGATTCCTCCCAGGTCAGGGAGAGGAGTCAGAAGAATTCCTAAACTGTAGTCCTAAAATTAGAAAAAGTTTACATGAAATTATCTCTTATTTCCCACTAGGTCTCCCTATACATATATTTCTTTGAATAAACTGTTTCACTCCACTACAGGGCTATTTCCAGAACTCTGGAATTTTGCCTCAAAGTTCCATGCAAGACCACATGAGAACTTGGGTTCTCTCTCTCTCTCTCTCTCTCTCTCTCTCTCTCTCTCTCTCTCTCCCTCCCTCCCTCCCTCCCTCTCTTTCCTCCTGTATGCTTAAGGCCCTATTTGACTTACACAGTGAGTAGAAGTTCTACGTTTTCTCTCCCCTACTTAATACCAAACAACTACTTGCAATGCCTCTTGGTCCTCAGGCTAATGTTCCCTCTTCTCCCTTGCTCCCAATAGAGGACAGGCAGGTAATAGGATTCAATGTTGTCTCCATAGCGACTCAGGCACCCAGCACTATTTATAGTGGAGTCACAGTCCCTCCCCTCCCTGGTGACCGCACAGTGCTGTGGGCTTCTACTCCAGAGTCAGCCAGGGCCCTAAACCTGGACTCCCCTCTTCCATCACACCACCTTCTGATAACTAGGTTCCTTCTCCTGCATCTGCCACTAGTTCGCATTTGGTCCCTATTCTAGCTTTTGATAGCAGCATCTTATCACCAGGTTCCTAAGCTTGTCATATAGTCACTCGTTTCTTGGATCACCTTTGTTTAATGACCCCCTCAAATGATCCTGTTGTTCTCCCAACCACTAGAGTCATGTGAGGCCCCACTATAGACCTGGCCAGAATTAAAAAAAAAAAAAAAAAAAAAGAGGGAAATGAGGACATAATATGGGATATGGATGAAAATACAATTTTTTTCCATAAAAAGATTATATGGAAAACATCTAAAGTGGGAGCCAATTAAGTAAAACAATTTATAGAAGCAGAGTTCTAGGCTAGACCTTGAAATGTAGAGCTACACGGAGACCCAGGATCCCTTTGTGGCTAAATCTCAGTGATTAGGCCTGAAGCGTCTCCTGCTAATCCATTAGGCACTGGGACCTCTCTATCCTTGGGATTCCAACCCCTCTCCACTGAGAACTATCTGATAAAACTCAAGTCATCATCATATTCTATGGTTCTCATCATCCTCCAGAGCAACAAGGACCTGAGATCTTGTGACTCTCCTAGCCTCAAATGGCACGTTTTTGGGCCACAATTTATATCGCATTTTAACAGCCATTACCCTCAGTTATTCAGATTGCAGATATAGGAAAGGCTTTTTCTCTTTCTCTCTCTTTCCCTTTCCCAGGCAGAATCAAACTCCTCTAACACTGCCCATAACTCACTGTCATCAAAACCAGTCAGGCCGACTCTGCCTCCTGCTCTGACCCTAGATTACTTAATGCATGCAAAGCCCCTGATTCCTATCTCTACACAGTCCAAAACATCAAAGTCAAAGCACACACACCATTCTGAAGTCCAAATCACCATCTACATCTCAAATCCACAGACCTTTACATTATCTATGCCTTATTTTAGCCGACAGTTACCTCGCTAACCACCCTTTTGGATTCGTCCCTTCTTGGGGGCAGGATCTCATAGTAAAACCACAGGAACCCGAGAGTGATATGACATCTTTGCTGACGTGAGCACCACGGGAGGCCGGCCATCCTCCTCCCCCTCTCCAGGCAGTGACCTTGCAAGCTCATCAGCACAGACTGGTTCAGCGTGGAGAACTCAAGCAATGAGGTCGGCGATGGGCAGGGTCGAGGAAGAAAAGGGAGAGGGCAGGAGGAGGAGGCAATCTGCCAGAGGGTGGACAGTGGGGCAGTTGCAGGAAAAGTGAGATGGTGCCTCCACTCGAATCAGTTTTGAAGCATCAAATTAAATATATTTATTTAAAGAACCAGATGCGGTTCTCCATACCCTAAGCCCAAACAAGGCGCCGCACGTACGCACGCACGCACGCTCTCTTGCACACGCCTGTGCACACGCGCACCGCACAACCTCCAAGTGTGTGCAGCCGGTGGCGCCGACTGCCCACCTCCTCATCTGCTGGACAGTTCCCCGCCCCCGCGGAACCCGCACAGGCTGCCCAGGAACTGAGCCCAGCAGCGGCCCCTCCTCCCTGGACCTTCCACGCCCCCCTCGCTCCTCCGCGAGCTCCTCTTCCCCCTCAGCGTATCTCCTCCCAGGGGTCCCTTGTACCCGTCCAGGGCCCTCTACTCCCAGACCCACCTACCTCCCAGGACTCGGGGACCCGCCGGACCGCCGCACGGCCCCCGGCACGCAGCGGGGCACCCGTCGCTCCTCGGAGCGGCGCCGAGGTCACCGGGCGCCAGTTCCGCGTCTGCACCGGGGGGCGCGTACCACTCGGACCCGGGGCGGGAGGGGAGGCCGAGGGGGCCGGGGCCGTACCATCCACCCTCCAGAGGAGGCACCGAGCCGAGCGCCGAAAGGTGGAGCCGACTGAATGCGATAAAGGCGGCTGCGCACCTTAGCCGTGTAGGAGTGGGAACGCGCAGTGGAGCACTGGGCCAGCCCAGCGCCGCGGAATGCAAAGGGAAGGACCCAGAGAAATACCTTTTGTTCAGGTGACGAAGAGATTTTAATTCGACACGGCCACAGAGAGTCTATATCGACGAAATGTTGTTTAATCCGAAAGTGAATTCTCAAGATAAACTACCCCTGAGGCTTTCTGGTCGGCTCCTTATACCTCACCTAGATATCCCCTGCACGTGGTTTGGAGGCGCCCGGCTGCCTGCGCCGTCCAGTTGGCTGCCCGTCCTCTGGAGCCTACCAATTCTGGGTAGCGGGGGTGCAAAGAGAAGGCGCGCCACCGGAGCACCTGCACGGGTGTGCGCCCAAGAGAGGGGGCGTGGCCCGTGGCGCGACGCCTACTGGGAAATTGAGTTCAGGCCTTTGAGACCTCAACACGCCCCTGGCGGCGTTGCCTGGCGTGGGGGGCCTTTCTTCCTAACCAGTAAGTCCAGGGGCTAGGAAGTAGGGACCACCTGGCCTTGAATATTTCAAATTGTGCCTTTTTCAGATGCCAACATAAAAGCTAAGACATACAACCACCGGATCATTAAAGAGGGGCATCTAAGCCTCAGCATTTCATCCATTCACATGGCACAGCCAGCTAGGAAAAGGAGAGCCCCGCCCAACCCAGTTGTCACAGCTGTCACTTGTGACTTTCCCTCCACTGAGTCTAGGGGCAGTTGATCTTACAGGTCACAGGCTTCCTCCCCCTCGCTGCACCCCCACCCCCATCTAGTAATTGGTTTGCATTCATCCCAGTCTTCCTGTTCCAACAGGACAGACCTAACAGTGTGGCCTCCTAGAGGCATTTATGGCCAACCCGCAGAGTGACAATGGAGAATTTCTTTTGGGGCCCTGTGGGGAAAAACAGGAAGTGGCAGAAGCGGGATGGGCAGGGCTAACCCTGGAGAACCTTGTGCACAGCAGCCCCCAGGCCTGTCATTCGGCAGGACAGGAGGTCTTGGAGCGCAGCTTTTGCAGGGCCCAGTGCCTAGCAGCCACAGAACCCCCCCAACCCTTCTGCACTCCTTTAATGTCACAGAGGAACTCCTTTGCCCAGCTCCAGGAATGTTTGCCCTTCTTGCTATGCTCCATCTCTAGCCGACAGCCAGGGACTGTCATTCATGTACATCCCAGATCTCCGAAAGCAGCGGGGGGAGCTTCTTGTCCTGCAGGCGCAGGGCAAACACTTGCTCCGAGTGGACACTACTCAGTGTGCGGAGGCTCACCAGTTTCATTAGCATCCTTGGGAACATGAGCCGGTCCTAGGGGAGGGAGGGAGAGAGCCAGGCTAGCCGCTGTCTCTGAGCCAGGATGGGGTCTGGGGCAGGCAGGATGCAGTGAAAGAGGCAGACCTGACCAAGGTAGGTATAGGCAAAGGGCATCTGGAAGTCAAGTAGGAGACAGGGAGTGGCTCTGAAGCAGAGGGACAAGACAACTGTGGGCCACTCACGTGGGGATGGTGGATGGAGACATAGGCATGCAGGGCTTCCACGTACGTGTGTTGCAGCTTCTCCACTTGCAGTTGGTCTTGCACGTTGGGTCGGTCTATAGGTCACCAATAGAGGAGGAGCAGATCTGGCCAGGGCTTTAGTTGCATATCCCAGTCACAGCACCCCAAATGCCTGAGTGGGCACGTGTCCCACCAAGCTGCTCCCCTCCCAATTAGCCCAGCCAGGGCTTCCCCATCCCCCATACCACCCCTACACCCCACTCCACAAGCCATGTGCATACACACACACACACACACACACACACACACACACCCTAGTGCAAGTGTCTTGCTGGGTTTCCCTCTAGCCCCTTTTGCATACCTGCGGAGAAGATGCTGATGGCAATAAGCAGAGCGAACTCTGCATCGTTGAGCTGCAGCTCATTCATGGCTTTGGAGAACTCGAAGATGGGGTTGATGAACTCTACCTGCAGCCCTGAGGAGGGAGGAAGGAGGCTGAGGCACTGGCCATGCTAGCTAGAACTTCCAGCTTCTAACCTGAAGAAGTGCTAGGAGCTCACTCAGCAGTCTCCAGGCTCTGCTGTGTAGGGCAGGTTTCTTAACCTCTATGAGCCTCACAGCTGAATATACCTTGGGAAACTGTTGTCATAATTCAGTGATAAATCATAGAGTACCTAGCACTGGAGATGCTGAATTAAAAATAATTCTAGGGCTGGAGAGATAGCTCAGTAGAATAAGTGCTTGCCTGGCAAGTTCAAGGGCATGAGTTCAATTCCCCAGTACTGCCAAATAATAATAATAATAATAATAATAATAATAATAATAATTTTAATATTCTAATTCTTGAGGGTTCTACATTTCAAGAAGTAGAAGCAGCTCCAGTTTTTGTTTGTAGGCAATCCCTTTTACTGGCAATGACCTTACTTATTCAAAGGGACCCATTGCATATATCGTATCCCAAAGGGAATACAGCAAGGTTGCTGAGGGTGTAGGCTCTGGTGCCAGTTCTGACTCTATTGTTTACTAGGCTGTGTGACCTTAGATAAGTCACTAACCCCTTCTGGACTTGGTTTTTCCACTCATAGTATAGAGATGAGAATAGTACCTACCTCCTAGAGGCTTCAGCATAAATTATGTGGTCGATGTATCTACCACGTAAGCTTTCTTTTCTTTTTCTTTCTTTCTTTTTTTTTTTTTTTCAGTAACAGGGATCAAACTTGGGAGCTTGTGCTTGCCAGGAGGCACTTATGTTGCAGAACTATATCCCTGGCACAGTTTTCTAAAAACTAACAGAATCAGTCCTCACAGAGAAGACTCAAATGCAAGAAGCCACGGCCTAAGCAGTGCCCCCAGAGAGCACCTGTCCCCTAAGCTGTGCTAGTCTCTGCTCCCCCACCATTCTTGGGCTTTCTCAGAGTCCTTTCAGCAACCATCTGCTGCACATTTCCATTTGAAGCTTCTTGATTAGTCACTTCCTGTACTTTCACCCCGATGGTTATCAAGTGCTGTGTGTTGATCCATTTCATGGGCAAGATCCATTTTAAAAAGCATTCTTTGGTGAAGTTTTAGCCACCCCCTAAAGGGCCCTGCAGCCCCTTCCTACAAAGATTCAGATAAGGTTCTAGAGTGGGTATATATATATCCATGAAGGTCTGCTGATGTTCACTGGATGAACCCTTCAAGTGGGATCAGGTCTCCCTCATTGGTCATCCACTGTGTACGCCAGATGGCAGGGGATATAGAGAAGAAAGGAGGGCCGGGCCATGTGTGGTGGCACACATCTGTAATTCCAGCACTTGGCAAGTGAGGCAGGAGGACTGCTATGAGTTTGAGGCCAGCCTGGACTACACAGTGAGTTTAAGAGCAGCCTGAGCTACATAGCAAGACCCTGTCTAGAAAGAAAGAAAGAAAGAAAGAAAGAAAGAGAGAGAGAGAGAGAGAGAGAGAGAGAGAGAGAGAGAGAGAGAGAGAGAAAGAAAGACAAAGCAAATTTTAAAAATAAAAGTAAAACCAAGAATCCTTATCCCTTTTCCCCAAGACCTCATTGATGAAATGAGAAAGGCAAACATGATGACATCAAAACTGCTTATATAAAGAAATCTATAAATAGGTGCAGATTCAGGCAGCACAAGTCCACAGTGCTGAAAGAACACAGATTTCAGAGCTGGGAAGGATTAGGAAGGAGGGCATTTCGAAGGAGGAGAAGGCAAAGAAGGTCCAAGACTATCATCAGTGGTTAGGCAGAGGTGGGGGGCTGGGCTCACTTTAAAGGTGGATACTTAGCAAGACCCTTTCTCAAAATAAAAAATGGCTGAGAATATGGCTTAAGGGAAAGGTCCTACGTTTAACCCTTTTCCCCTGCAAAAAAGCTGGACAAAGTAATCAAACCACTCCGATTAGCGGCTACATATTCAGCCAACAGTCCAGACACTGCAGAAGGTAATAGGCCAACACAGTTTGGCCCTGCAGTTAAAAGAGACCTTCCTAGAAAGCTCTTTGGGTGGCCCTGTTAGGACAAGAGACATGAGCTGCCTCAGTCACCTGAAACCAGGAAAGGCTTTACGACTTGCCCTGCACACCAGGCTCTGCCAGCCCTGATTCAAAGTAGGAGCTCTCTTTCACACGCCCACTCCCTCAGCTGTTGAGCTGCTTGGTCTCAGTTCCTCCCAAAACCTCCCAGCCTTCCAACCTTTCCCAGCTCTGCTCTCCCACACAAAAATGACCAGCAGTGGGAAAGGAGGAAACCTCTGCTTGGCTCTGGGCAAGTACAGCCAGCCAGCAGCAATGTGAACCCATGCTTAGAGAAACCTCTGTAGCTACAGCAGGAGGACAGAAGTGTCCATGTTTTTCCCACAACTGTCCCATCTGAACACAACTGTCATGTTTCAACTCCAGCTTGCTGAGCAATTGTCAGAGTGGAGAGCAACTGGCCCCCATGAGGCTGGAAGAGCACATCTGAAAAAGACCTGTTCATTTTCAACTACTGAAGGCTTGATGCAGTGATTTCCAAACTTTTTTTTCCTAGCTATAAATTCTCTTCAGGGATCACACTATGCAGAACCACAGGCAGAATGCAGATTTAAATAAAACTCTTGTTTAGCTAAACTAAGGATGAAGGCCAGTCCTCTGGCTCCCCTGAGCCCCTTAGGTTACTTGGAATGCAGCTTAACAACAGCTGGCCCACTGCAGGGCCCCAGGTCCATGAAGCAGCTGGGAGATGCCCATCAGTGGTCCAGCATCCTCTCTTGGAAAAACAAGCAACACTTTCCCTTAGGCCTGTGGCTGTGACCCGCCAGGGCTCAGACCAAAAGTGTCTGTCCATCCAGCCAGGGCCTTGCTGACCTCAGTTCTCACCTGCTTTGGCAAAGTCTTCCCGGTTATAACTGAAATCCTTGAGGAAGGTGATGCTCTCGCTCCCAGGGTTATACCTCCGGGAAGTTTCCAGAAGCATCACCTGTGGGGCGAGGAGGGATGGTTTTGGTGTGCAGTCCTCGAGGGTACCCTATCCCTACCGCCCAGTGGCTTGGACTCCCTGGCCAGTCTGGACCCCCCTCCAGCCCTCTCTGGTGCTCCTCCTTCCCTCCACCTCTGCAGCCACCTCGATCGCGGAAGTCTTCAGGAGGGCGATCTGGTCTTCCTGGCTGAGTTGCAGGAAGCCTGGGAGCTGTTTGGCAAAGTCGACAATCTCCTGCACGGACACGATCGCCAGCTCCGTGAAGTGGGCAAAGCGCTGCTGCCGGGCCTCCCGGCTCTGGGGGTCGGGGGCCATGGGCCAGGGCTACCCAGGAGGGCAAGGAGGGAGGGGCAAATGGCTTAGAGTAGGGCTTCAGAAGGCCATGCGGGGCCCAGGCACAGCCTCTGCACCCCCGACTTGTCCAGTACCGTGACGCGAAGTTGGTCAGAAAAGGAGCGCTTGTTGCACTGCTGCTGGGCAGTGACCAGCTTCTTGATCATGCCCAGCTGCTCCGGGCTGAGCTGGGGCAGGACCTGGGGTGGTGAGACAGCCCTTGGGGGTACAGACGTGGCCTGGGCCTGCTCTTCCTCTTGCCGCTTCAGTTTCTTCAGGCGGATCTGTTCTTCTGACAGGACACCTAGGGATGGGCCTGATGTGAGCACAGAAAGCAAGGACAGGGCACAGAGGGTGGCTTGAGGTTCCAGAAAGGCTAGGCAAAAGCAAAGAAGAGATCTAAACCCATCTCCAGGATCTAGAAACCCTGGTGGACACAGGCACCCCCTTCTTTCCACCAGCCTCTCCCCAGTCCTGGCCCGAGACACTCACACTCTTCCCGCATGCCTGCCTGGCGGCACTTGCGAAGCCGACACTCCTGGCACTTGCGTCTCATGTAGGTGTCCATGGGGCAGTGGCCACCACCGTGGCAAACATAGTGTGCCCCCTTGATGACACTGCGGCGGAAGAATCCCTTGCAGCCCTCGCAGCTCAGCACGTTGTAGTGGAAGCCAGAGGCCTTGTCCCCACACACGCTGCACAGCTCGTGGCCCAGCATCTTGGGGGCTGGGCCCTTTTTCCGCTTCTGTGGTCGGAGCTCTGCAGTCAGGGAAGAGCATTCATGCTTTCCCGACTCGGTCACTGTGATGGCACCAGGGGCCATCATTCCCCCATGATATCAAGTTTAGTCTCTATTTTCTTTTTTCTAGGATGAGGTCAGGCTGTCCTCAAACTCCTGGCCTCAAGGATCACTTCCACCCTGGCCTTCTCAGTAGCTGGGACCACAAACATAGGCCACTACTCCTGGCTTGGTCTCTTTACTACCTGCAAAGCCTCATTTACCAAAGGTGAAGATACCATAGGTGCTCTTCACAATACATTGCCCTTACAAGTATCATAAATGCTAATTCTATTTACGAAACAAGAAAGTGGTTGCTCAGAAAGGCCTAAGGAAGAAACAAAACTCACACTCTGATGACTCAGGTCTAGTTACTCCACAGTCTTTGGATGTAAAGGTCAGGACCCCAAGGTATCCCCCCAGGACCCACAGAGCCCTGACCTCCTCTGAATCCAGAAGCTCCTCACCTGTGGGCTCAGGAAGGGCCTCCACTCTGGGGAGCAGGGCTGTGGGCTCTGCTGCCTCCAGCCCCATTGCCACAGGGTTCCCAGCAGATGGAGGCATCCTGGCTTTCTTACTGAGGATGCAGCTGCTGCCTCCTTGGGCCTGGCTGCTGGTGCCCAGGGCCTCTGGCTCCCACGGCTGCACTGCAGAGTCTGAGCCCAAAAGAAAGGCACAGGGAAGTCCCAGGTCCCCTCCCATAGGGATGTCCTGGCTGGGAAACTGCAAAGTACTCCCCACTCTTGCAGGGTGGCCAAGCCCTAGCTCCCACTCTGGGATGCCTGGGTCCTATAGCTCTAGAACTAGTCAGCTGAAGACCCTTGCATATGAAGAGCTTAAATGAAGAGGTTAATCTTTGCCCCCTGCCAGGCATCCAGTTCAGAGATCAGACCTCTTCCAAGCAGGGCTGGGTCAGCAGTAGACATGCCAGCTCTGCCAGGGAGGGAGTTTGCAAGGGCTGGGCACCAGAGCCACAGCATGGGTAGTCTGGGTTAGGAGGCTAGCAGGTCCAAGAACAGCTGTGGACCGCACTCCAAGGGGGGTGTGATGCAGTAGGAAGCACACTGGGTCCTGAGGGAGAAGAGGAGCTGAAGGCCGGGCACAAGGGATGCTTACCAGGCACAGGGGCCTCCAGCCACAGGGACATCTCTTCCTGGAGCCCTGGACATTACCAAAGCACTGTCCTGCGGGAACAGCCCACATTATACGCTTCCAGATGCAGATCCTTGCTCCTGCACCTGCCTTCATTCTGAGCTGCCAAGCACGAGCCTGTGCCAAGCCTTACGCCCTTCCTTGTAACAGCCCTCTGAGATCAGGGCTGTATTCTTTTGGTGACATCCATCTGGGAGTCAAATCCAGGACCTTGCACATGGTAGGCAAGTATACCTCCGGCCCTTTTTGCTAAAGAGACAGGGTTTCACTACGTTGCTCAGGTTGGCATCAAACTTGTGATCTTCCCCATCATGACTATTCACACCACTTTCTAGTGGAGGAAACTGAGGCTCAAGGAGGTTAAGCACATTGCCCTTGGCCACACAGTCAAGTGAGACTGTAGAGCTGAGACCTCAACCTGTCTCTCTGGCTCCAAAGTTGAGTTCTCTGCCACTCATGCCACGCGGTGTTCCAAACCCCACTTGGGGCCATGGTTGGGACATCTGCTTGCGCTCCTTCCCCTCACTCAGCACTGGGGAGGGTAAAGCCGAGCAGCACCCAGAAACAGGATGTAGGTCCACGCTCCGGTAACAAACAGGCTGCTTGCTCAGAATCCCAGTCCCGCCTCTCCTGGGATCCCGGCACCAATCTCTTGTTCCAAGGGTCTCCCTAAGACACATGCAGGACCACCTCCGGACCCCTCAGGAGTCCCTCTGGGATCTCACAGAACTCTGGTCCCTCCCAGGCTCCTATCACATCACCATCACCCCTATTTTTCCCAGAATCACCTTTCTAAGGCTCTCAGGAGCTGCCCACCCGCCTGGCCCCCAATGCACACACAGAGAGCCCAGGCCATAGCTGAAGAGCAGACCCACCGTGTCCCGGGCTACCAGACTTCCTGGCTGCGCAGTCTCTGGAGCCCCCTTGCTGGGACGGGAGGATGGTGCAGTGAGCGCCCTGCGCTGAGCATACAGTGGCGACTAGAGCTGAACTCAGAGGGACCTGGAGCCAGGAAGTAGTAATGTGGGGAGAGGCTGAGGGGAGGGCCTGCCAGGGGTCAGGCCACCTCTTCTTCCTGGCCAGCTTCCCCACCAGGCTGACTCCTCCCCAGCCAGCCGCCCCTCTGCCAGCGCCACCGAGTCCCCTACCCTCAAGCACCACAGTTGTGTTTGCCGCAGACTGGCAAGACTCCACGTCTCTCCCCTCTTCTCACCCAGAGGCTTTGGAGCTAACAGAAGGGCTGCTTCCCAGGTTGTGGGAAGCACCTCGCTCCCGGCAGCCTCTGGAGTCAGTGTCCCTCCCTCCACAGACACCTCGTGGAGCAAAGGTCTCACACTGCCCGGAATTGCGACACTGAGCCCAGCCTGCATTCCCAGCCTGCCTCCTCCTCCACTGCCCCTGGGAAGGGGCCAGGTTCTCCCTAGCAGTCCCAGAACACAGCCAGGCTGGTAGGGCGCCAAGAGCAGAGAGGCAGGTGCTGGGCCTTTCAGGGAATCTGTGTGTGGGAGCCCTGCAGCCCCGCAAGGGGGCTGGTGGCAGTGGATCTGAGCACCAGCAGCCCTGCAGTGGGAAGGGAGCAGACGGCAGCACCCACAAACCAGCCCAGGCCAGCCCCAGAAAGGGACCTGGGCTGCCTTCTCTGGGAGCAGTCCCACCTGAGGCTGTGGCAGGTTCCATGGAGACTAAAGCCACGTCTGGGCCATGAGACCCACCCATGGGGACTAACGGTGGGCTTCCTTTATTTTATCTTCCCCTGAATCCCTGGAACAGGACTTGGCACAGCAGAGGCAACAGGCTAGGTTCTGTGCTTGGGTTTGTCGAATGAATAATTAAACAGGATCCTTCCCTAGCTCATACTCGTCACCTGGAATAATTTCAATGTGGCATGCTCACGTAGAATCTGGGCTCTGGGCTCAGACTATGGCTTCAAGCCCTCATTAGCTGAGCAATTTTCTGTCATGCTGCTGGGGTTCCAATCTAGGCTCCCCATATGAGCTTGGAGTTCCTTAAGGTTTCTGAGCCTCTCTTCATCTTTAAAATAGGGACAGTAATGACAGTGTTAGTAATAATAACAACAGTCAGCTGTGGTGTCTTAGCCCTGTAAGCCCAGCACTCTGGCGGCTGAGGCAGGAGGATTGCTGAGAGTCTGAGGCCAACCTGGGCTATACCTTAGTTCAAGGTCAGCTGGACTACATAGTGAGACCCTGTCTCAAAAATAAACAAAAAAACACAGAACAACAACAACAGTAATAGTAATGCAAGGTAGCAGTGAGAGTGAGACCTATCAGGACACCACAGGTGGCACACAGTAAGCGTTCCAGAGTTGGCAGTGATTGTTCTCTCGCCCAAGCCCTCCAAGCTATAGCCTCTGCATCACCTTGTACTTGTACACTGTACCCCTGAGTCCTACAGCCTTTGCACCTGTGTGGTCCTTACACCACGGGGAGACCAGTATACTCCCGTTGACTGTCCACCCTGTTAGACCCACATGGAGGGCTTCCATGGAAGGTGCGAGGCTGGGGGCTGGGGGCTGCAGGGAGAGGTGGAGCCACAAGCTGCTTCAGCTCAGACACAGGAGGCAGGAACTGAGGTTACTGCTGGCCATTCACTGCCTGCCTATTCCCAGCTTCCTGCTGGTGGGCTCTTCCTGTTTTGCTGTCAACTCCAGTTCCCATGGGCCCACGTCAGGCCCAGGACAGGGGCCAGGGCAGGCAGCCAGAAGGAGCTACAGAGGAGGACAGAGGGAGAGCACCAGGGCACCAGGGGAGAGGAGAGAGGGAGCAGGGCTGGGGCAGGGGTGGGACAGAGGCGCAGGCCAGGAGCAGGGTGGGAAAGCCGAAGCAGCAGCTGTGCCTGCGAGAGACCAGGAAGCCTGGGTGGGGCGCTGAACAGCACACACAGCGTACACAAGGAGCCAGCAAGCCGGGCTGTTGCGAAATCTGCCCGTGCATTCGCTTTCACATTTCCCAAAAGCCCCTCTGACAGCAGCCCTCATCTCCAACTTCTGCCTCTGGGTCCAGCTTTTGTTCCCTCTCGTCACAAGGCCGTCTCTTCCCATGGGCCCCACCCTGGTTTGGGGGTTCACAAGTCATGAGCACAAGGCTCTCTGTTCCTCTCACATGTCCCTTCCCTGGTTTTCACAGGCCCCAGCTGTCCTGGGAAAGCAGACCCCAGGGACCCTGGCCTGGAGCTGCCCTGTCCCCACACCCACATCGCAGCTCCTGCTGCCTGTCTGTCCAGGCACCACCAACAGTCACAGAGGTCCCTACGACACCTGGTTCTGAGGGATGTGGGACTCAACATTGGTCTTTGGCCTGGTGATGTATCTCCTGGGAGCTGAAAGGGCCTCCCCCAGCTATTCTTGACCCTCAACTCCCTCTCCTAATCCCCTAGTCCCTTGAGGTAGCTTCCCAGGACCCAGGGTCACCCAGCAGCCCCAGCTGGAGCCACCTGAGTCGGGTTAGAGTGAGCTGTGGAACGAATAGGTCAAGGAGAAAAGGCTCCAAGCTGGGAGTCAGCCCAGCTTGGCCTCTGTAGTGGGGTAGTGCTAGCGTTTGCTGCCAGCTCTAAGGGTTGGGGAGCCCTCTACTAGGAGGGAAGGAAGAAGGAAATGAGGAGGAACAGGTCCTGTTGGAGAGGCCAGAGGCCAGCACTGGCACTTCCCCCACAAGCTCGGACAGGCCATCGGGTGACCCATAGTTGGACCTGCCCTCACGGCATGGTGCCATGAGCTGGCAGGTATTAGGTCCAGAATGTCCCTATTGTGTGTCTCCCTGGCTCCTACTGGAAGCAAGCTCTCTGGGAACACTGCTGGGATTTTTCTTCCCAAGTCACACTTTAGCCCCCCACCCCATCTCCAGAGGATTCTATTGGCAACAGAGGGAGCTGGGACACAAGCATAGGAGCATTTGCCTGACCACCGTCATTTGCACTGCCAGTACCCTTCCCCGAAGCACTCATTCCTGGGAAGCAGGCCACAGGCTAAGGTCTACAGGCATGGGCTTCCTGTTCCCTCTGTCCCCATTCTAAGGGACGTGTGGGATCACCTTGAAGACCACTAGATACAAACTCAAGTGACTTCTGCTCAACCTCCCAACATGAAGATAGAGAAGAATCCACGAATTCCTGCTTCCTAGACCTCTAAGTCCAGAGATGACAGAGAAGGCAGAAAATAAAGAAAAGGCTCTTATAATTTATCTTTCTGGGTATTATTTCATTATAAATCCAAGGAGATAGTTACTGGCAAGGTACAAATATCAAATCTGAATACAGATAAAGCTGATTCAAAAGCTCAAGCTCTGGCTGGTATGGCAGTACATGACCATAATCCCAGCACTTGGGAGGCTGAGGTAGCAGGATTGCCAGTTCAAGGCCAGCCTGGGCTACAAAAAGAATTCAAGGCCAGCCTAAACTACATAGCAAAACCCTGTCTAAAAAGACAAAACAAAACAAAACAAAAAACCCCCAAACAAAACACCCAACCAACCAACTAAAAACAAGCTCAAACAAAATGAAACCCCACCTCACTCCATTATGTAAAACTGTCTCCCCAGATGGGAAGAATGGTTAACCTGCCTCCCCAGCTAGGAACAGTGGTAATTCCCAAACCCAACCTTACCTCCAGACACCAGTTTATTGGGACTGGGGAGGCCCAAGTTCTACCAAGCCACCCATATATATTATTATTTCTTTTTGCACCTGTATCTTTCTGTTTCGTTAGGAACTAAGGTGTGAGGAACACAGAACCATCTGGTAGAAAATACGTGAAAACTGTAGAACCCAGAAATCAAGGCTCAACTCCAGCCCTACCATGTACTTGAAATCCCCATCCATCCTGGAATCATTTCTCACTATAAAAGCTGAAATAAAAACTGCCTCATCAACCTTGCCTGCATGGGACACTTGCAGGCACAAAGAATTTGATGGATTTGAGCAAGTAGGAAGCAAAGCAAAAGATGAACCTGAGGGATTTTTGTTCTACTTGCTAAAATTTGGTGAGCTAAAGATTTATATTCTTGGGGCTGGCCAGATAGCTCAACCGACTAAAGCCCCTGCTTAGGCAGGCACAGAGACTGGGGTTCAATCCCCTGCATGTCGCGCAGGCCCCACCCCCAGGGCGCACTGAGGCGGTGACTGACATGGTGTGGTGGTGCATGCCTGTAATCCCAGTGTTTAGGAGGCTGAAAACAGGAGGATCACTACAAGTCCGATCTGTGTAATAAGACCCTGTGGGCTAAATACATTTTTAAAAATAATAAAAAGTAAAGATTTAAATTCTCAGAGCGCAAGGATCTGGCTAGCTTGCAAGAAGAGTACAGGTCACATGGAAACAAAACACCCTCTAAAAAGCCCACTAATGTATAATAGTTTGCCAGTTGGTCACGCCCCATTCAATCACAATAATGGGAAAAGTTTCTTTGGTAGAAAATCTCTTTATCTGGGGGCATGAAAAAGGGCACAGCTGAGTAACAAATGCAATTTGGGCAGTCTGTGAGCAACAGCCCATTACAAAGACTGAATGGAGTGGGGCTTGAGGGCACACACTGTGACCCCAGCACAGTGGGAGGTTGAGGCCAGAGGACTGCCAGTTTGAGAATCTAGCCAAACTTTGCCCCCCTCCACAAAGGGTTAGCAATGCAGGTCACCACAAGTGTTCTCGGTTTAATTCCAGTTATCTACTCACATCCCCACCACAAGACTGGCAGAAAACTTCACCTTCAACCCATTCCCCTAAATGGTGTGAGCTTGGACAAATCGTCTCTTTGGGTTGCTTCCTAATCTGTAAAGTGAGGGAACTAGGTCGAATTGGGACTCAGAGGTCTGATTTACAGCCCTACGGAGGGTATTGTGGAAACTCTTGGGATTGTACCAAGTTCCATTGAGTGTGTTTAAGTGTTATATGTGCGTGCTTTTCTGAGGGAGAAAGAGCTAAATCTTCATGATACAGTGTTTACGACTAATAATGTTAACACCACTTGGCTAACCAGCCACTGTTCTATTTACTCCTTAAGTGTCCTTCTGAGCTATTAAATTCAGACTGGGCGGAGCATACAAATAATTGAATCTGGAGTCCCAGAACAAGATAACAATTCTGATCAGCTTTGTTTGCCAATGGGCTGAGGTGGATTTGTTTCAAGCAAACGGGGTTATGAATCAAAGTGTCCCAAGGACCGAACTGTGTGTCACCCAAGCTCAAAGTCCTGGGGCCAAACTGGCAGCACCTTAATGCCAAGAAGACCGCTGATTCTGCGGAAACCGCGCTGACTTCCGCTGTTATGTGCCAGCCCCAAAATATTGCTTCCGTGGTATGAAAGATCTCCCAGGGGAATTCAGGCTTTGGGTCTGGGAAGTCCGAACATCCTGTGCGACCCAAATCCTTGGGGAAGAAAGCCTGACGTCTTGACTCTAATTAACTGAAACTTGGCAGCCGAGGGGCGGCAGCACAGGGAAAGGAAATTGAGTTACTTAAGGTTTGCGGGGCGCACGAAGAGCGACTAGAATGGTCCAACCTCAAGGGCACAGGGAGTCCAAGGGGTTCTTCACAAGCTGTACCCTGCACCCCAAACAAGCCCTCTCCAGGGCAACAGGGCCGGAGCCCGGCTCCAGCTGCACCCCAAGGCAGAGGCCAGGATACCCAGCATTCCCCGCCCCGGCCCGGCAACACCCGACCTCAGGGGGCGCTCTTTAGGCCTGCCGTGGTTCCGCCCGGCGTAACCACAACCTTGGTACGGGAAAAGGCCAACCGGACCGTGGGCCCCCTTTACTGGGTCTTCAAGCCCTCTCTACCACGCAAAGGTGCACTACATTTCCGTGTTCCTCTACTACAACCAAATGGCCAACCTGTTCCTTTTCCCTCTGCAATTCCGCTTTCTCCAGCGCCTCCCTTACAAAAGATGGCGGCGAGTAAACTTCCGGTTGGTGTCCTTATGGTTAAGTCCGGGCGGCTGTAGCAGGTGCGATGTAGTGCGTTCCGGCCTCTTTGCTGCACCGAACACAACGGTGATGGCGGGCAGGCGGTCTGGCTGGAGCCGGGCGGCTCTTCTCCAGCTTCTTCTTGGCGTGAACCTGATGGTGATGCCACCCACCCAGGCCCGGAGTCTGCGCTTCGTTACCTTGGTAATGGTTGGTGGAGTCACCAAAGGGTTCGCCAGTGCTGGAAGGGCAAAGGCCTTGTGGAGGGAGGGGCAGTGCTTGTGCTGGGGTCGAGGGTCCGGAGGAGGAGGAAGAGCTGGTGTAGGAGACGCCTTGCCTAGGCAGTTCAGAGGGCTGGGCTCAGCATCGACGTGGAGCCCTGGGCCATTCTGGGGGTCAGACACTCGAAAGTTGTTCTAGATCAAGGCAGGTGGGATAGGTCTGCCAGGGACAGGGATGTAGTAGAGGTGAAGAGAGTCACCCATCAAGATGACACTGGTGCTTGTCCCCGCCCCCCATGCATTGCTTGCACTACTCTTACAGTCCTTCCCATCTGTGCATTTCACTTTTCCTACAGCTACCCCTTACATTCCTTAGCCAAAGTAAGAGCTTTCTGAAGCAGGATCTTTTGCAGTAATGATAAGGCCTCCCAGAGGGTGAGGCTTCCTATCCAACAGGGGGCAAAGCAGATCCTTCCAACCTGTAGGCAAGCCATTTTCTTTTCTCAGCTATATCGACATGGAGACCGATCCCCAGTGAAGACATATCCCAAGGACCCCCATCAGGAAGAGGAGTGGCCCCAGGGGTTTGGTCAGCTAACCAAGGTGGGTCTGGTGCCAGCTACCCTCAGGATGAGCTGAACAGTGAGTGACCTCGGAAGCAAGCTACAATACTAGGGGACCTCCTAAACAGCCACTTCCCCGATGGGTGCTAACTTGAACCAGATTTTGTTGTTGTTGATGGACCCGGAGCCTTGGGCATGCTAAGCATGTCCTTTGCTGTTGAATTATTTCCCCAGCTAGCACTGACCAGATATGTAACTTTACATTATATTCTGTGCCTAGGACAGTGCCATGTACAACTGACCACTCAGTAAATGACATTTGGGATCCCATTAATCCAGGCCTACTTCCAGCCAGAAGTCAACCTAGAGAGAAACAGTGCCTAAATCCTTTGGGGCATGTGAGCCATCCCTTCCCAGGACCCTCTTAACATAGCTTTGCCCACAGGAAGGGATGCTACAGCACTGGGAGCTGGGCCAGGCTCTGCGACAGCGATACCATGGCTTCCTAAATGCCTCTTACCACAGGCAAGAGGTAAGGCTGGGAGGTCAGAGGAATGGGGTCTGTTGTCCTCACCCTCTGTCCTTGGGGGCCTCAGTGAGAAACTGAGCATTTTGGATTCTCTCCTTTATTTCTGATCACAAGAAGAGATCCAAGAAGCGTCTAGAACAAGTGATCCAGAGAATGTGCCTGGAGGTTGAGCTGACCCTTAGCTGAGGAAATGAAAACTGATTAAGCATCGAACCACCCAAGCTTCAGGAAAAACCTGGCAAAGGGTTTTCTAACTGCGAAATTACAGGCTTCCAATCAAAATTTATTGAGTACCTACTAAGGACCAAGCACTGTGCTTGTACATTGTATATAATAGAGCACCACACAGATAAACTCTGACTTCCTGGAGCCTAGTGCACAGTGGGAATGTCAGATGTGCCAGGCAGAACCGAGATGAAGGGGCGCAGGGAAGGCTGGCAAGTGTGCTGGCTCCTGGGGTCTGCTCCTCACCCACGGGTATGGGGAACACTGGTTACTGCTCTCAGCCATAGCTGTACCCAGAGTCTATATGTTACTGTTCCCTTCAGCTCATTTCTCCATCTTTCCAAGCCACGCTCTATTCCTTATTGTCTCATCCTGGAGAAGGGGACTGATGCATGGAGGTTTCCAACGTGCTGGGGCCCCAGCAAGGGAGGACCCCATCTGCACACACACATGGGTGAGCCTCTCTGTATCATCCTGACAGGTTTACGTGCGCAGCACAGACTTTGACCGCACGCTCATGAGTGCAGAGGCCAACCTGGCTGGACTCTTCCCTCCTGATGGGATGCAGCGCTTCAATCCTAACATCTCCTGGCAGCCCATCCCCGTGCACACTGTGCCCCTCAGTGAGGACAGGGTAAGGTTGGCCAGCCCTTCCCTGGAGATGACTAGGGGACCACTGTGGTCCTGGGCCTGCTCACCTGGCTCTCCCTTTGGTTTGCAGCTGCTGAAGTTCCCGCTGGGCCCATGTCCCCGATATGAGCAGCTGCAGAATGAGACCAGGCAGACAACAGAGTATCAGAATGAGAATGCCCAGAATGCAGTGAGTGGGGGAGAGCTAGAGCCTGGCTTCCTGTGCCCTGCCTGGGGTGGGATTGACCCCCGGTTCATTTCTCTGCAGCAATTTCTGGCCATGGTGGCCAACGAGACGGGGCTTACTGACCTGACCCTGGAGACCGTATGGAATGTGTATGACACTCTTTTCTGCGAGGTGAGCCTGCTGGGGTGCCCATAAGATTGTGCCCCTGGCCCTCTCCAGTCCCAGGTCTCAGGACAGCGCAGCATATGGTGTCTGGGCACTGATATCCACCTGGGTGCCTAGAGGGCAGCTGCTTGTGAAACCTAGGAACTTCCCCTGTGGGGAAGAGAACCTCAGAGTGGGAAGTGCTTTGCTGGCTGTCAGCAGATCTTGCTCTGCTAGCCCTAAGCGCGTGGTGTCATCTCCTATCTGCTGATCTCGCCTTTTAGTCCTGAGCTTCCTCTCCTGTGCCCTGAGCCTGCTACCACCCACCACGACGGCCCTGAGCCCATGCCTCACCTCTGTCTCCTGTCCCGCTCACACACACAGGCACCTTCCCTCTGCGGAGGAGAGGCCCCCGAGAGGCTCTGGTCTAGGCCTGGAACTAACCTGCCCACTGCACCACACAGCAAACCCATGGGCTACTGCTGCCCCCCTGGGCCTCTCCCCAAACCATGCAGCGCCTCAGCCACCTAAAGGACTTCAGCTTCCGCTTCCTCTTTGGCATCCACGAGCAGGTGGCGAAGGCCAGACTTCAGGGGGGTAAGTGATGAGAGCACCAAGGCGCCCCTGTCCTTGGGACCTTGCAGTACTGAAAATCTATGCTGGGTGTGATGGTACATGCCTGCCATCCTAGTACTTTGGGAAGTTGAGGCATGAACATTGAAGTCTGAGCCCAGCCTGAGCAGCTCAGGGAGAATGGCTGAAAATCAAAAATAAAAAGAACTGGGATGTCACGCAGGGCAAGGGCCCTAGGTTCAGTGCTCAGTACAAAAAAAATTTCCACTTGTCGCCCCCTTTAGAGCAGGTCTCTCCAGTTTTCTTAATGCTTAGCCCATGTGTTACTGTGACCACGCAGTCAGGTCCACATGTTCCTTTTCTGCCACTTGTTGCTAAATGGTACCCCCCCTAAGTGAATCCCTCCCTTGGAGAACCATGGGGCCTCTTGGAGAGAAGGCTGAGGGGTGCAGGTGCCACCTGCCACTTGGAGCACCCAAGGGTGTGCCAGGTGTCAGTCTGACCCCACTGGAGTTCTCAGAGCTTGCACATGGCAGCTGCCCTGGCGTGGAGCCACCACTGTGTGTTGTAAAATAATCTTCAGGGGTTTTTTGTTCCACATTGAAGATTCAAACGTGGACAGGGCCTCCTGGCTTATTTATAAGAAGGCAGGTTTTCTACATTTGTTTAAAAATAGGGGGGCTGGAGAGATGGCTCAGTGGTCTAAAGCACCTACTTGGAACAAGCTTGGCAAAGCACAGGGACCGCGGTTCAATCCCCCAGCACCACATGCCA